AAAGTATTTGAGTTTGTGGAGGACAAACCCAAGAGAGAGAGAGAGAGAGAGAGAGAGAGAGAGAGAGAGAGAGAGAGGTGGCAGCAGGGCAGAGGATCCCATTGTAGGGAAGAGTCAACAGGGCTTAAACCATGACTTTCAATTCTCTTAAAACTAGTCTGAGGTCACCTTGGTATTGGACGCCCCGGGGCCTCAGCTGACCAAACTTCCAGGTGCACTAAATGAGAATATGGGGAGAATATGAGAAAGCTGTATGAAATAGGATTCAAGCTATAGTTTAAATCCTACTCTCTTGTTTTGGACATTGCTTGAATAATAATAACACCTTCCAGTACAAGTTAAGGGTTGAGGTTATAAGCGGATTGGTAAAAATGACTCAATTTAGTAGAACCTTTCAATAGTTGGAATTTTTTCTGCATTTTATTTTAGGAAAACCACCACCAGTAAAAGAAAACAGTGGATGAACAGGGGATTTATTCAAATTCAGGATATTTTGCTTTTGTTTTTGTGTACATATTGTTTTCCAGAGTTAGATGTTCCCAGGGATCTTAATTAATTCAGTCACAAGATTCAACACAGCAACTGTATTTGTAGAGAATCATACCTCCCAGGTACTAATATTAAAATATTTAAAAGTAAATTAAACATGGCCCTTGCTCTGAAAACTTTCAGTCATTGGAAGAGCATTTATCTTCAAGATCAAAGGGCAAAACTGTATTGACAGCTGAAAAAAATCTCAATAAGGATTAAGGCAAAAAGGGCATGAGGCGCCCAACAATTTTCTGGAAGATTCCAGGAAATTTTGAAGTTCTGTACAATCATATCTGATTCCGAAATGCCAGTGCACCTCCTGGGCTGGTTCTCCTTTGGGGCACCATCATTGCCCAGGTTTCTGAGAGGCACAAGGAGAATGCTCTGGCAAACCACTGGCATTATACCACAGCCCCTTTGCCTGCAGTGTTCCAAAAACATCAAGAGTAAAAGATGAAGTCGCCCTGAACTCAGCTTCTGAGTGTTATTTAATGGTCTCTTGGTGGCTAGATACCCCACAATACTGTGCGGGGTGGGGGAGAGCAGGGGAGGGTTTCTGGAGGGGACTGCACCCAGCAGTGCTCTACCGCTGAACTACACTCTGTCCTTTACATTTGAATTTTGAGTCAAGGCTTCATTAAATTGCACAGGTCTTATTGCTGGGATTACAGGCTTATGCTGCCACATCCAGAGATGCTTCATAATTTTATGATAGTCTTAAATTTGTTTCTTCCACCATATTTCCGCCTGGCGAGATAAACAGGCTGTTTCCCCTTGCAGTTCCACCATGGCTTCTGACCTCCCTTGCCATTTTATTTATCTATTTGGTACAGGGTCTCACTATGCAGCTCAGACTCATAGTGATCCTCCTATCCCAGCCTCCTCAGCACTGGGATTACAGGTATGTGCCACCATACCTGGTTTTGGGGCTGGCATGACATGTGGTACGGGGGATTGAACCTGGGAGCTTGCACTTGCCAGGAAGGCGCTTAGACCGCTAAACTATCTTCCCTAGCACCCTCACCACCACTTTAAAAATCTCACAGAGTGTGTAACTCTTTTCCAGTGTTGACACACAGGCTGCAGTCCAGTGAAGAATACAACCTAATTTGTCATTGCAAGTTTGAAAGTTTGGCTTCTTGTGGACACATCAGAGCTGGCAGCATGGGGTCCCTTGTTGAAAAGCCACCCCCCCCCATGGCAGCCATCCTTCCCTTCCTGTCTCTCTCTGACACTGCCATGTATCACTGGGCTTATGCTGTGGCCTTCTCCACTCCAGCTGAGTATTCTTTTCTACCTGTGAGCGCTATTTAAATGGAGACACCAAAGGAACAGCCACATGTGCCCTCTGGCCTGCATCACACTGTCACTGTTGGCCTGACCCCTGTAGGCATCTGTTTCTTGCCCCAAACTGCTGATCCTTTTCAAGAACTGACCCTGTTATTCTCACTAAATGGATGCAAGATGACTGCTTTTCATGGTCTCACTCTGCTTCTGGTGGGCCATAAGCACAGTGAACAAGAACCATCACCCTCGCTATTAAATACCAGTGGCATTTAGGTGACACTGTTTAGTAATTGGTACCTGCTGGATCTGCCACTTCCTCCCCTGTGAATAACTCCCTGGTGACACCAGCCTCTGCCCACGGACCGCATGCATGCTGTTAGTAGTGGAATTGCTATCCTTTGGCTTTAGGGAACTGAGCACTGTCACACCGTCACTGTTGGATGGAAACAAGTAATTGTAGTCACGTTTCACTTTAAAGTTGGCTTTGTTTCAAACCAGGCAAGTGATATTTGGAGTCAAATTAGGGGAAAGTACTGGATTCTTCGAAGGACAGAAAACAATATTTCTAGTGTTGTAATGATGGTTTTGGGACTGGGAAGGTAGTGAAGTGTCCTCAGCGCTGCTGCCTGTTTTGGCTTGGAGGACCTTCTGTGCCACCACCAGCGGCCTGGTAACTCCGACTGAGGAAGGCTGTGACACCCGCTGGGCTCGGGAGTGAGGCCTTCTGGGTTGTTTTCTAGGCATCCCCTGGCCACCTTCTTCCACCTTTTCTTCCGAGTGAGTGCCATCGTCATCTACGTGTGCTGTGACTGGTTCAGCAAGAGCTTTGTGGGCTGCTTTGTCACTGTGCTGCTCCTTCTGTCTTTCGACTTCTGGTCTGTGAAGGTAGGGCTCCTTCTCCAGTGGTGCTGTCTCTGGGGGCACATGAGCTAATGTGCCATTCCCTATATGTGTTAGTCTTTGCTTTAAACTGCTGGTACACAGTATTTTACTGAGCCAGGGTGGCTTAAAATTAGAAGAGTGCACTGTTTAGTGATCAGTACATAGGTTCTGAGTATCAGCTGTCATCCTGCACATTTCCATTGGGCGGGGGGGGGGTCTATCAAAACTCCATGTGGCCTTGGAATTTTATAAAATTTACATATAATATAAAATATCACAAGTATATACAATGTGAATATATAAACATATTTTGGGGGGCTCACTTTTTCAAGTAAGCTTCAGTATTAGAGGCAGCAATAACTGATGAGGAAATCACTGTAGACGAATGCCCCTTTTAGCCGTTCTCAGTACAAGTTTAACACTGACTGGTGACTTCATCTTATTCTTCAGGATGATGACATTTTTTTCCTATGGTTATTTTGTCCATTCTCCTCAGAATGTAACTGGAAGACTCATGGTGGGCCTCCGATGGTGGAATCAGATTGATGAAGATGGCAAAAGCCACTGGATTTTTGAAGCCAGAAAGGTGTGCTCCATGACAAATGAAAGGATGTGAACTGGAGAAGTGTCTGTGTGAAGTTTACGTAGGTTCCTTCCAAGTTCTGTGTACAGTAGCTGCTTCCTGCCCTGCACAAAATCCACTGCCCCAGGTGCTCTGTGCAGTGAAAGCGTGTGTAACATAAAGGAAAGGGGCTGAGCGCTCTTTGCACAATCTTTGCTAGCTCTGAAAACTGACTGCTTTCATCCAACAGGTCTCCCCAAATCGTATTGCTGCTCCAGAAGCCGAGGCGCGCATCTTCTGGCTTGGCCTCATCATCTGCCCCATGATCTGGACGGTGTTCTTGTTCAGCACCTTGTTTTCCTTGAAGCTGAAGTGGCTGGTAAGGCAACACCTTGACCCTGACATCGCTCTGACGTCCCTACAAACCAGTGGTCGCAGGAGTAGGCTTTTGTTGCTACTGACAGGTGGTAACAGCTTGATTGAAAGGCTCTTATTCCAGTCCATTTTGCCCATTTGAATTGCAGAATCAGTGGCTTCCAGCAGTCATAATTCTGATCAATTTCAGAACATTTCTTTTTAACAGTGCCAAAAGTTTATTTCAAAGGTGAGGGGTGAAAGGGCAAGGGAAAGGACAAAGGAAAGATAAAAACAAAAATAAAAGAACACCCTGTGACTAGTAGGCAAGGAGGGTCAGAGGTACCAACCAACCAAAGCTGCTCTAGAGCAGAAAGCAGAAAGGGGTAGAACCAGGTCGACCTGGTTGAGACTCCAGAGCCTGCACTTATACTTCCAGTGTTGCTTAAGTTGCATTTAGCTATTTTATTCCCCAAAGGACTAAACCATAGCAATGAGATACTGTACCTCCAAAACAAAACCGCACAACCCTTATTTAGGAGACACGGGGTGGGTTACTGTGAAGTCATGACAGCCCATTAGTAAAAGGTGAAAGATTTACACGATCTGAAGAGAAACCAGAGTATATGATAGTCCATTAGGATATTTTCATCACACTGGAAACTCTGCACCCTTTAGCTGTCACCTCTCTATGTCCCTGTTCTCCCAACCCCTGGAACTCGCTAATCTCTCTCCACAGATTTGCCTGTTGTAGAATATTCTATATAAATGTAATACAACATGTGGTCTTTTGTAATTGGCTCTTCTTTTATTTAGCGTATCTTCACAGTCCACCTGAGCTGTGATGTGTTAATACACTATTCTTTTTTATGGCCAAATACTACTCCATTGTATGGATAGAGCACATTCTTTACTAATTTATCAGTTGATGGTTATTTGGTTGTCAGTGACCCAATTTTGATTTTGCCATGCTGAGATGGACCAGGGCATTGCACATGTTGGGCAACAGCTTTACCACTGAGCTACATTCCCAGAACCAAGAAAGGAATTGGTACTTGGATGAGGGGCCCTGGCTAGTGGGGCTAAGTTCGAGAGGTGAGGTTTTAGTTTGGCAGAGTATTTCATTGCTATGGTTTAGTTCTTTGAACGAGGAACACAGTAAGCGCACCTAACAAGCAACACTGTAATGACAAGTGCAGGTGCTGAGCTTGGATCCTGGAGTTCTGCCACTCTCCCTCTCTGGCTAGGGCCCCCCTGGCTTGTTGGGGCTCCTGCCCTCCTCCCTGGCAAGTGGGATGCTGACGGCACAAGCCGCGGGTAGATGGCTGAGGGTATCCGTGCGTGCTGCTCAGCAGAGGCTGGTATCCTGCAGCTTCCTCTCAGAAGACTTCTTTGCTTTGCCCAAGTACAGGCTCTTGTGATTGCTGGGATTTCACTGCAAGCTGCGAACCTCTACGGCTACATTCTTTGTAAGATGGGAGGTGAGAGCGACATCAGCAAGGTCACCGCCAATTTTCTGTCCCAGACGGTATTCCAGACGGTGAGTTGCTGACGACTCACCTGGACAACCACCCCACAGCCATGCAGAGTGAAGGAGGCTGCTGGCGCCATAACTTGTCAGCCAGCCTGCCACAGTTCTTTTTATTGTGGTAAAATTTACACAAAATTGAAGTTTAAATCCTTATCAAGTGTGCAGTTCTTGGTATTAAATATATTCACAACGTTGTGCAGTTGCCACCCATCTCTAGAACACCTTACACCTTTCCAAGCTATGTCTAGTAAACACTAACTTCCCAGCCCTCTCCCGGGGCTACACCATTGTCCATCCCTATGCGGCCGACTATCCAAAGGGTGCTTTTAAGGGCAATTAGACAACATTTGTCTTTTTGAAACAGTCTCACTCTGAGTTCAGGCTGGCCTTGAACTCACTTTTAGCCCAGGCTGGCCTCAAACTTGCAGTGATCCTCCTGCCTCAGCCTCTTGAGCGCTGGGATTACAGGCATGTACCATCACATCCAGCTTTTTTCTTTTCTTTTTTTTTAAATATAACATTCAATTTATTATTTCTTTCTCAAAAGAGTTTTCTTTGGTCTATTAAGACCCAGCTCCCCTTACCTGGGCTTTGGTGGAGGTCGTGGGGCAGCAGTAGCAGGTCTAAATTGGGGTGGATGTATTCAGCCCCTGTGGGCTTCACGAAATCGATTTCTGACCACTTTGCTATGAATAGCACAACTCACACAGTAATGCAGCTTCACATACAGCTTGGGAAACACATAACCGTCGAAGACACTCGCTTTGGAAATGTCCCTGATGGTGGCAGCCTCCACTATGTTCCAAATGACAAACTTCTTAATGGTCTTATCCTTGGGTACGCACCGGGCACAATTCGTGCAGCGAATAGGCTGTACATGACCGCAGCCCTTTTTGGCATGACTGCTGTTCCTTCTTTTTTCATCATCTTGGAAAGCAGGACCTGAAAACCTGGCTTTTCTTTTGTGATTGTATGATTTTCTTCAAAGTCCTTTAGAATTAAGGAAGGAATATCCCACCCCTTTTTTTTTCTAAAAAAAAAAAATAATAATAATAACAGATACCCCAGAAGTGAAAAAGAGTTGAGTTTTTAAAATTTGACCGAACTCATCCTGACATGGTTTGAATGAACATGGTTTAAATTTGAACAAGGCTGCTGGGCACCATGATAAGAAGCCAGCAGTGCTGCCAGTTTCCCAACCAGCCTGCTCACAGGGCAGACAGCCATGGCAGCCGGCTCTGAGGCGCCTTCCTCCAGGTGCCTTCCAGAAGCCTGGTCTCAAGGACATGGAGACTCATCTGCAAGGGAGTGGGGGTGGACAGAGGCAGGTGCTGTGGAGCTTGTAGGAAGTGCAGGCCCCATCCCACTATGCCCAAGGTCTAGGTGGCTCCCATTTCCTAAGTGGCTAAGTTCACAGTCAGGTCAAAGCCAGACTGTACTCAGGCTCTGTGGCCTTGTCACCCTTTCAAGAGGTCCTACCTTCTTCATGTAGAACACATGCGAATCCAGCCACATGCGTAGGCAGAAAGGGGAGGGAAGGAAGGGGAAGAACAAGGGATTTGCCCACCCTTCCACTCTAGGCCCCAGACTGGTGCGGAAAACAGGAATTTATTCTTCCCTCTGCAGTCTCAGTTCCTGTTGAAGACATGTGACCTTGGAAATTACTGGATATACTGTACACATATTACCAAACATCGTGTACACACAGACCACAGATCCTCTTGAATGGATGCTTATGGGCTTTTCAAGGGAGTTTTGATGGTTCCCAGCTGCACTGCGTGCACTGAGCCCCGAGTGGACCACAGGGTGAGGCTCTGCTGCTCTCTTGACTTTCCCCCTCTCCTGACAAGTGACAATCTGGACACCGCTGCTGAAAAGCAGGACCATGGTCTGCAAAGGAGTCTGCTGCCAGCCCTCTGGTTTCTTCCTAGGCTTGCTTTCTGGGCAGAGTGGCCTGTCCTGTGATCAGGATGCTTCCAGCAGCACAACATCCCTGGTCACCAGGCCCTTGGCATCTGGGAAGAAACCTTGTGGGATAGGTTTGAGGAGCTGCTTTTATTTTAAATAGCATGTGTGTATAGAAGACCCCACAGCGATCCTCTATAGAAAGTGGACAGAAAGCAGACGGTAAAGTGTCTCTGAGAAAGTCACTTCCAAGCAAGTCAGCATCGGGTCCCTTTGGCCTGCAAACCCCCAGCTGTCCCCAAGCTACTCAAGCATACTTGGATGTGCTGCTGGCAGGTTCCACGACCTGGGAACTGCTTGAGCTTTGACATGCTTAGGAACTGATGAGGTTCTCTTCTGTCTGATGCGGACCACAAAACTCTTGGATTCCTGGAAAATAAGATGGAGAGCTCAGAATGCTCACTCATGGCAGCCCCTAGGACAGCCCTGCTCCGGCTGGGGAAAGCCATACCAAGGGGGTGGATTCCCTGCTGGCTTGATTCCAGAAAGAGCTTGTTTCTGTGATGCCCTGAATCCTGGAAAGTAACCCACATGCTCTTGCTGCCCTCTGTGGATATAGCCATGGCTGGGCCCTTCTTTGGGCCCCATTTATAGACAGATCCTTGGAATGCTGTGATTAACCCTTCCTACCACTTTACTAGTGAATAAAACCCAGCCTCAAACTAAGAGGCAGGAACTCTAGCCAGTTTCTATTACTTCTGCCTTCAACCTGAGGCCTTGCTGGCTCCATCTGGCCTGCACATGGGTTCACTTTGGGTCAACATGGTTTTTGCTTTTTAAAATCAATTTTTAAATACCCATACTAAGATGGATTTCCTATACCTTAAATGTTCACTTTCACTGTTTTTTTTTTTTTTTTTTTTTTGAGGGGGTGAATACATGGGATTGAATGCAGAGCTTTTACACTAAACTACAGACCCACCCTTTTCAAAATGTATTTTCATTTTGAGACCATCTCTTGCTAAGTTGCTAAACTGCCCAGAATGGGCTCAAACTTGTGATTCTGCTGTTTCAGCCTCCCTAAATATTAGGATTAAAGGGGTGTACCACCCTGCCTGGCTTCACTGTTTTTAAGCTATGAATTAGTTCACAACATTGACACATCAGATTTCTCATGGCTTTCTGGGCCGAGGGGACCACTGTGGTCATTAAGGGCCCCATCACCTGAACTGTCCCTGCCAAGGCTGGTGGTAATGACCATTCTGATTCTAAATGGAAGGCTACCCTCAAACCCAGCCACCTCACTAACTTCTCTGCGCCTAAGGCTCTGAATTTATGAGACTCACTTTAACACTTACTTTGAATTATACTTCTGTAGGCTAACGTGGCTGGTGAATCTGGGGCTTCAACGAAGAAAGACTGGCCTCTGTCACAGCTCTTACCTTAAAGAGACAAATGAGAGATGGGGAGGCCCTTGAAGAAAACGTAGTACCATGAATCCTGGGGCTCTTTCTGTGCCAGTGACAACATGATCTGCAGCTCATGGAGAACAGAGCCAGCATTGTAGGGCCTTGCCTTCATCCCTCAGCCAGCAGGAGACTTGGGTACCTTTTAGCACAGCTGCAAATCAGCTGGGTGTGTGGCAAGTGCAGGTCTAAGGGCCCCACAGAGAACTAATGATTCAGCAGCTCCCAGGTGGGCCCTGCAGTCTACAAGTGAAGAGACTGAGTACAAAGGTAATAAATGTACATGGTCAAAATAAACCAACCACTCATGGACTACAATGGGAAAATACCATGAAAAGGAAACCCAGGAAGGCTACTAGTATTTTGGGGATCGTTCCAGAAATATACACGTACATGAACTTCAAATGGACACACATGTAGACTCTTATACTTGCAACACAAGAGGAACATGCCATGTCATGTTCTATTTGTTGCTTTTCACACTTTTAAACTCATCCTCAGGGTCACCCCCATGGTACAGATCAGCCTGCTAGTCCTTCCTGGCTCTACAACTCTTGATTACACTTGCCTCCTGGCCACACACAGGTCATTTCTGGGGCCACATGGTAGGGACAGCCCCTCTGATGGGTGATCAGCCTTGAGGATGCTGCGGTGGCCATGTGTGACTTCCCTGAGAGCCACATAGCACATGACATGCTCCTGTGGGTGGAGATGTGCCACTGGGCTGAGACCTTCCCTCTCCTGTACCTTGGGCTCAGGGTTTCTCCCAGTACGTCTCTTAGCAGTCATCCTGTTAGGGGGTACTGCTTGAAGCACGGGTGCTGGTGGCAGTGTGCATTCATGTGCTGCTCACGCTCATTCACCTGGCACCTCCTCTGGGGCCTACAGGGCCTTATAGGGAGTGCCTTGGCTTACGAAAGGTGAAGAAAGCTCTCAGCACCACTATGGCCAGGGGCAGCTACCTGGTGAACCCTTTACCACCTAAGGGAGGCTGGAAGACAGCTGTGGTTCTCTGCACTTTGCAGGGGAACCACACGACAGAGGAGCACCTGGGACACTGTCCAAGCAAGGACACACTGGGAGCAAGGAAGGGGGATGGGGACACAGCCTCCTACACACAGGGTCTCTGGGCTATTCCCATCTCAGCCCCACCTACCCCCATGTTCCCATTCTAAAGGCACCACCTGGTCCTTCCAGCCCCCTAAATATCCCAACCCACAGTGTTGCCCATTCTTGCTGCTTTGCTACTGGCCTGATGGGCATGATACTTCCCCCAACCTCACCGTCCCCGCAGGCTCAGCCCAAGCCTGATGATGTCCTGAGTGCCTGCCGCTCAGAACCAGAGCCCAGGAGTGCTATCCTTGCTGTTGCCTCCCTGTCATGCGTCCCTGGCTGCTTCCTCCTTTCTAGACAATGGGTTCTTATCCAGATGGCTTGTGTTGGGCAGCAAGGACAGCCTCGATGCCCCTTCCTCCTCAGCCATCAAGTCCTGTCACTTTCCCTCTTCTCACAACACAGCCCAACTCCTGGTACCAAATGGACCACATCCCTGTGCTGCTAGCCTGGCACCTGGGGGCCCATACCCACCCAGATGCTTGGCTTCTCCCTGACAGCCCAAGCTGCAAGGCCTGGCTCAAAGCTGTGTGTAGTGCGGCACCAGCCTCCCTCTCCCCTCCAGCTGCAGCTCTTCTGCTGCACACGTCCTGCTAGTGGGTCCCTGCACAGGCACGTGAAACTTAAGCAACATCCACTCTTATTTTGGGGAGACAGGAATCTGGAGGAGTAGCTTAGAGAAGGCAGAGGCTCACTGGGAAGAAGGGCTCCAGGGCACCTCTTCTTCAGACTCACATTCTGTAGCTACTCTTTCTCATCACCCTGCTTGGTATCTTACTTTCCTAGTGCCCTCTGTTCCCCCATCACTCTCTCCCTGAATAAGTTCTGCTCATCCTACCCAGGAGCTGGTGTCCCCAGGCACCTGCCTATGGGTATCACCATTTTTCCTGCAGCAGCCACAGCAGCAGCAGTGAATCAGCCTCTAGAGGATCAGCAGGAGAAGGGGCCCTGCATAGCTGGCTCCAACTGCCCACTGTCCCTTCCCCATGCCCACTGAGGGAGCAGTGAAGACGCACTCAGGACTCACTCACCTATGTGTGGATCCAGAGGTACTCTGCCAAGGAGAGGGATCTTCAGGTTCTGGCACATGGCCTCTGCACCCCCACTTGTTGGGGGGAAGATCTGAGATTCCTTCTGTGAAGAAAATGAAAGAGGAAGAAGCCTGACTTTGTTTTAGTATCAAGAAGGTAGACCATATTTTTAAACCTTAAAAATAGCCTAGTTGGACATGTTGGTGCACACCTCTAACTTTTAGTACTATGGGAGGATTAAGTTCAAGCCCAGCCTGGGCAACTCAGTGACTTATCAAGACCCTGTCACAAAAGAAAACATGAAAAAAAGGGCTGTGGATTTGATAGTACAATGGCCCTGGGTTAAACCCAAGTACAAAAAACTTTATTCTGTTAGTACAGAACATTAACCACCAGAAGCATTTCCCCTTCCGTCAGCAGTGGAGGGTTTTAACTCAGATCTGCTTCCCAGCATGATAGAAAGCAGGAACACTTTCACAGATGTTCCTCCATAGGGGTTTGTGCAGGCCCACACACTCTCACCTTACACCTGGGACAGACAAAGCCACTCATGTTCTCCACCACCCCGATGATGGGCAGCTTCACCTTACGGCAAAAGCTGATTTCCTTCCGGACATCCTGCAGTGATATCTCCTGCCAAGGTGCAAATAGGCCAGTTACTCCAAAGTCGACAAACTGAGTGACTTGCAAGTGCCTAAGGCTGCTGTGTGTGGACTCACTCCACAGTCCTGGAGGTGACTGCCATTTGCATGGTATTTATTTGGTAACTACTATGTGGTAAGTCCTGTTCTAGCTGCTATCATCTTCCACAAATCTAACAGCCAAGTAGCAAACATAAGAATCTGCCACTAAGTATTTCTCTACACTTAGCCTTGTGAACACTGGAGTGCTGTGTGCTAGATCAGGGCCTAGCAAACTCTGCTGGGTGGCCCTGGCTGGCCAGCCGCCTGCTTCCGTGAAGGAAACACTTCTAGAACCTGCTACACCCACCCACAGTGGCTTGGCTGAGTCACTGGGGCAGAGACATTACAGTCTACCAGGCTTAAAGTACTTACTATCCAGGCTTAAGTTACTTAGTAGCCAGGCTTAAGGTATTTACTAGCTGGCCTGGCACAGAAAACTTGCTGACCCCTGCTTGATATTATGAACACAAACAGCTTTATAGACAATGAGGAAAAAAAAGGAATACTGCCCTCTTTAGGTCACTTTCAATACACTTTGAAATCTGAACACTTTTCTCAGTGTCACCCTACTCTTCTCTAGTCCCCTTGCTATCGTTCCCGTTCAACACTATCGCTCAGCTGTCTGCTCTGGCACTCATAACTGTCAGATACGACTGGTGTTTCTCAACTCCTGTGGCCTTGCCACTCATGGGCTCCCAAAAGGTTCAAAGCTTCCAGGGTTCTCTTCTCTTCTTGAGACACACATGGAGCTCTCCGCCTACTGAGGCCAGGTACGAGGACAAGGTCTTAGCTACAAAGAGAGTGGCTGTTACTTAGTCTCTTCTCAGTTACACCTCTGTGGTTCTTTGCTTGGTGTCTTATGAATACAATCCTGCTGCTCTTTCAAGTGACCCATAAGAAGCCACATTGCCCATGTCAGTGCCTGATGTGAGGGGTTCTAAAAAGTACATGTCTCTGGCCTGAAGCTCTACTTTCCAGAAAAGCTGTTACAAATGTGGGGAGCCTGCTAGCACCCAGAGAAATGTTTTCTCTTCTTGCAAAGTCCTAAGGGTGGATGTTACCATTTGTGTCTAGATGTTCCCCTAAAGCTTCAAGCAGTCAGATGGTTTTTTGGAGGTGGCCGAATCTAGAGTGTGTGACCAATTCATACTGCAATTCACAATGCTGGGATTAAGACTAGATTGACACCGCCCTAATCCAGGTAGACTGAATACAATATAAGTGATAGAACTCTTTCTGTCTCTTTCTCATGGCTTTTGCTATCTTCTGCTGCCATGAACTGCTGCCATTCTGCCATGTTCCACCCGGCCTCAGAACTGGCCAGTTATGGACTGAAACTTACACAAACTGAGCTAAATAAACCTTTCTCCCCTTAACTTTGGGTGTCAGGTATTTTGTTCCAGCAATGAGAGAAAAGTAATTTCAAGACAGTGGGCTTAACTGCCTCTAGTTTATTTTGGGGGCTGAGGGATCACATCTAGAGCCTTAAGTGTGCCAAATATACCCTGCTCCACTCAGTTTAGTTCAGAGATTTCTACAGAAACATGCTGGGCATAGCTATGGACGCACGTTCTGAAGAGACACCTTGAGGTCACAGTCTGTCTCAGAGATATAAGAAAAAGGAACCCAAGGCTTGCTCACCTGAGGGGTGGTGACGATCACTGCCCCATCGATGTGTGCTGCGGCCAGATACTGGACAACTGAGAGGTGCTCATCGGATGTGCCGGGCGGTGTGTCCACAAGGAGGTAGTCCACATCCCCCCAGTCCACATCACGGAGGAACTGCTTGATCATGCCTGGAATGGAATCAAAGCTGCTGCCTGCCTCCCTTCCTTTTCGGTACCATGGAAGGATACGTGGAAGCAGTACGTGGCCTGTCTAGGCCTGCTCTACGCTCCATGCTACCAGTTCTCACCTATGAAAGACACTGTCTCCAGGGACATGAGGTGATATATAGAGCCACGTTTGGCTGCCATGACTAGCTGAGGAGTGCTACTGGCAGCAGGCTGGGGACACCAGCAAACCTCTTCCCCACGTGGCATGGCTATGTACCACCCCAGTGAAGACTCAAGTGGCCCACAGTGCCAGTGATGTGAGGTGAGTGACGTGGCACCTGTGCAACCTAGAAGCACACCTCACACATCTCTCCCTGACCCAAATAAGCCAATTCAAAGCCCAAACAAAACAATTTCAAGACTGTATAAATATAAAGAGAAAAATTCAGAGCAGACATTAAAATTCTAAAAATAGAAGCAGGTATTTTTCATAATTTCTTCACTTTCTTCTTCAGTGAAGACAGGTTACCAGATGGTTGGGAAGAATGAATCACAGTGGCTGGGATATAACTGTGTGAAGGAACACTTGCTAACGTGCCTCCCAACACTGTAAAACAATGAGAGCAGCACACTCCTAAGCCTGGCAGGATGACTGCTGCTACTTGACAGGACAGGATGCAACCACACAAGAATGGGAGCAGAGAAATGGGGTAACAAACCGTTTTTCTTTGGTCCCCTCCAGATCACAGCATCGTCAGGGCTGCTGAGCAGGAAGCCCACGGACATCACCCCCAAGTTATCTTCCACATACTGGAGAAGGAACAGGGATGACGGTGAGATGCACTTTACCCAAGGCCACACAGAGAGGTGCTTCTCTACTATTGTCTGGGGCCTAGCTAAAAAAGTTACTTGGGGGGCAAAGTCATAGTGTGACTTGTGAGTAGTTTCACTCTGTTTCCTCCACCCATACTGAGAGGACCTGAAAGCCTGTGCTGCAATAGCAATCAACCGAGCTGCAATAACTACACGTCGTTTCCTTAACTGTCTCAATCAGGAGTGAGCACATGAAGGCTCTTGGGGACAAAGCTGGCCACTGTCTGCTTTTGTGAATATATTTTTTACTGGCACACAGTCGTGGTCATTTGGTCACATATTACTACTTTCCAGACATAATGACAGAGTACAAAGGTCCATAAGCTGAAACTATTTACTGTTTGCCCCTTGACAAACTTTGCTAAACTCCGCTCTTGCTGCATCCTCCCTGCCTGGGAAAGTATGCTAGTTAATATCTACAGGAAGGTTGGGGAAAATGTTGCCGATGCCTTACAAAGCTACGTGGTGCACCTGTCCACACGTACTACCTGCACCGTACGGCAAAGAGGCGAACACTCACCACTGGAGACCAGCCTGAGGCACTCTGGTGAACCTGTGCGAACACGAGCATTATCAGTTCATGAGAAACTATGTACCCCAGTCACACTCTCACACAAAGCACACACAAGCAGCTATAGAAAACACACACTACCACTGCACACGACAGCTCTGAATTCTTGATGGGACATGAACAGCTGGGGCACAGGGTGAGGAATAAAGGTATAGTTTGCTCCCCACGTTGGGCTGTTTTGACACTCAGCTTGGTCAGAAGTCAGGAACCAAAATGAGTCCAGTTCAAATATGACTTGGGTCTGGGGTATTTTAAAAGAGACAGTGAGCAAAATAGTCTAGAAGTTCTTGAGAAAATACAGTTCACTGTGAGCAACAGCTTGCATTTGTAAAAGTCTAGGAGTAAAAGTTCTTTTTAGTGACATGGAGGGTCCAAACCTGGCCTGGGGAATAGTCTGAGCTTTAGCCCAGGGCAAGTACCAGGGCCGTAGGAGCTCCTTGGGTCAAGTGTGAACCTCAGATCCCACCTCTGACGTGGTGTCCACGATCTGACTCTGTGGCTCCTTTATGGAGCCAGGGCTGAGCAGCCTGCAGGTATACAGCAGCCTTAGCAATCCGGCTTCTTTAGAGTGATGCGTAGCAGCCCAAAATCAAAGGACTGCTTCTTGATTAAGTCTTACCTTTGCCAACAGCTTTGCTGAAATACAGTTCAGAGACTGTATGGTTCACTCATTGAAAGTGTGCACATTTTAGGGGCCTTGTTCACATCAGCAGGGCTGTGCACCCCCACAATGAACTCCAGGACATCTGCATGAGCCCAAGAAGCCCTGTGCTCCTGGCTGTCATCTCCCAGCTCCCCACTGTCCCCAGCCTTAGGACCTAACCTACTTCTCGTCTCTATGGATTTGACTATTTTATAATTTCATATAAATGAAAACATAATACATGGTCCTCTGTAGTATTTTCTTTTAGCTATTCAATCCTTGTTATTCACTTAGCCATTGGTCTTAAAAGTGATAAACATGATGGTCCAATAGCACAGAAGAAAATACTAACATTTTATTTTTATCTCAACATTAATTTTGTTGTTGGTGTTCCTGAGATAGGATTGCATTACACTGCCCAGTCTGGCTTCAAATTCCAGAGCTCAAGTGATCCTTCTCTTCAGCCCCTTGAATAGCTAGGACTCTTAATAGGTGTCCACCACTCCTGGTTAAATTTTCACTCTCATGAACTATTTCTGTATGGTCACAGTGAGTTCCTAAAGCACGTCACTGCTCAGGGCAGGTGGTCTAGAACACCTACATGTGGCTCACTCTGGAGTGGGTCACCCCCTTGGAGATCCTTCCATGCAAACACAAGGCTTCTGCAGAGCCATCAGGACTGGTCCACAAGCCTCAGTGACTCCCCAGTCCATGGAGGACACAAGGACACAGAGGCTCAAGTTCCTACCCTTTCCCTCAGCCCACAATGCACCTCTCCGTTCTCCTATCTGCCACATCAGCCACTGCTCTCTTCGCCATCTGCTTTAAAAGGTCACTCCTTAGTGAGGGTCCTTTTAAAGGCAAGCAAACAACCCTACTGCTGTTTGCTGTCACTTGTCCTCTTCCATGCGGCTTTACTCACCTCACTATTTCCTGAGAATAGGGCCTAGCACTAAGGAGACAGTCTTAAAAGCCCAAGGACAGTGGGGCCCCATTTTTACCTCCTGTCACTAATAGAAGGGAAACCTGGCATCTGCTCTACTGTGGTAGTCCTGCCCCCATCACTCAATGCCTCACCTCAAAGTCTCACTTTTCCAGGGTGACCACAAGGGCAGAAAGATTCCCTGGCTTTCAGGGCACAGACCCCAAGCAAGTCCCAGCCCCAAGGTCCCAGCCAGAACTAAGCTTCTGTGTCTCACTTCTGCATTTCAATGTTTCCCTTTCCCTTTGAGAAGGCATCCAAACCTATGCTTCTTAAATAGTGCAGATGCATTTTATATATAATCCCACCCTTCATATAAAGAGCTGCTGCTCAAGCAGACAGGCCATGGAACACATTTCTGAGCTCACAGTGCCTACACAGACAAGCACAGCCTCTGTTTGCCTCCTTGCTTGCCCTAAAAGAACAGTGCCCGAGTTCTGAAATGCAGCTCTTACCTGTTCTCCTTCCAATCCCATGATCTTGGGAATAGAGGGCCCACATATATCGATGTCCAGCAGGGCAACCTGGAGGTTGAACCAAGACCTGGCAGTTACGTGCCAAACATATAGAAGAAAGGATGGGGAATGGAGGAGATGGCAGCAAAAAACGAGGTCAGATGTGAAGCGGGCAGGTTCTCATGGGGCTGAGTGATAACACTGACCCCCCCCCCAGGCAGCCAAGCACTGCTCAAACTCCCAGGATAAAGCTCATCAACACTGTCCCCTGCCCTGATTCTGGCTTGGCTCCAAGGCTGCCTTATGGACTGGTGTCAGGGCATCTGCTAACTCAGGCTTGGCCAAGATTTACTCTGCCCTAGGTAGGAAGCCTCATCTCTCCTTCACAGAAAAAACAGGTTCAGGGAGGCCAGGTGACATGTTCAATGAGCAAAGATCAGAGCTGAGAAATAAAGCGCAGTCTCCTACCTCCTAAGCTACAGTTCTAGAAAGGAACCTAGAGTTCGCCAAAAGCAGGCTTTCTAGCTGAGTTCTGGCCAAGTCTGCTTTCCTGAGATCCTAAAGGTTATCAACAAACTTTCAAGACACTTAAAATACGAATGAAACCTAGAAAACATGGCTAGTGATCTGATATGGTCTCAGATGATTCTTCTCATGCCCCAACCTCTTCTGCCCTGCAGTCTGAAGAATGTGAAGGTCTGGGCTGGTCTTCAGGAACCTGGGGAAGGGCAGGCCTGACACTCATCTTGAGAGCTGGGAGGTCACAGTTGCAACGTGCAGCACCTCTGGGTAACTTGGAACTTGCCTCAGGCTGCTTCTGGCTTCCTAGTTCAATCTTTTTTAACAAACCCAACCTCCTGCTTCCTCAGAACCACAGCAAGCCTCACCCCAGGGTGCTGTTTGCCTCTTGGGCCCCCTGCTGGACAAGCCCAGTAGTGCAGCAGAGCGACGCATCTGCCTTCTTTCCCTTCATCCAGACGCTTGGGTCAGCACCAGTGATGATGGTCCGGACATTTCACATCAGTGCCTCATGAGTCAGGAGAGGTCACCATCACTGCATCCCAGCAGGCTCTCCTCAGGCAACTCGGGCTGCTAGCTGCCCTGTCTCCATGCCATTTCTTCTGGGAACAACTCCACTAGCTACTTTTTGAGAAGCCACACTCCCAGGGCCAAAGGCGGGAACTGAGTAAAACCAAGCCAGGATTCAGTAGTTGGGGGAGGGCACTGACATCACCAGGGTACCCTAAGGCTGTAAGCCAGTTTCGGGTTCTTGGCGGCCCAGCCAGTCCCTTCAGACGTGCTAATGAATGTATCACTACTCCAACAGCTGGGATTACTTCCCTTTGTGCCTAGGTTCAGATGGAGCTGAACCCAGCACCTGTGCCTCTGTGGCCAGCTGGCAGGAGCTGGAGGTGAGGGGTGATCTCCTGCAGCAAGAGCGAGCAGGACCCCGTAGGGCTGTCAGAACCCTGCACCCTACTGCTCCCCTTGAGGGGCAGGAGAGGAGCGTTCTAGCCCTTGCTCTGAGTCTTCCCAGGCCGTGTCACCTCACACAGGTTTCTTCTTTCTCTGCCCTATCTGTCTGGGATTCTGGTGCATGAAACAAATGCCCCAAGTCCTTCAAGCTCTGGGCTTTCTCAGTGCCAGGGAGAGGCCTCAAACACTCCGGTTCCCAAACACCTCATGCCACTTCTTCAGTGATGCAGTTCACCTTCCAGATTATAATGTTAGATTATAAATACATAGCTGGTGACATTCACAGCAGAAAGCTGGTGCGTGACTCTTTGATGTCCCTTAGCTCTAGCTTACACTACAAAGGCTTCTCTGGCTTTCACATCTTATACATTCCCTTGCTTGCTGGCAGTCACTCACAGCTATCCTCCAATTCTGCTCTCTCCTGGTCCAAGGTTTTTCCAAATGGAATGACAGAGGGTCCATTTTGTGCAGCAAGTGAGGAGCTCCCACCATACCATGGGCAGAGCAAACACAGGGCATTCCCCAACCTTCTGCTGGATTTAGGGACAAAGGACTTAAAGAAGTCATGTTAGTCCACTCCAATCAACACAACCTATTTAGAGCCTACCCCATGGACACTTTGCACACCACACAGTAACATCTGCGGTGTCCTGAGTAGATATGCCCCAGGAAAACACACTTTCCTGCATGCATCTTTCTTTTAAGCCACCACTGCAAATAGAAGTGCAGCACACTTAGCCATATCTCCACACTAGATGGTAGATTTCCTTCAGTACACTGCTACTTGTGGCAATGAGGACTTCAGAACAGAATGCTATGGAAGGGAGTGATGGAAACAGCTGACTACTCACGAGTAGTCAGAGCACAACTTGTCTTTAGACAGCTATATAAGGATATCTTTGACAATTTCTAAAAGCAAACATTATTTCACACAATCTGAACTAAATAGATTAAAAAAAATTTTTTTTTGTGGTATTGGGAATTGAACCCAGTGCTGTGGCACGGAGCCACACTCCCAGCACACTACTGTTTTACTGAGCTAAGGTTTCACTAAATCATCCAGGCTGGCCTTGAGCTTGAGATTCCTGCCTCAGGCTCCCAAGTAGCTGAGATTACAGGCATACGCCACTACACACTTCTTGACAAGCCCACTAGGCAGTGGAAGTCTGACCTTCTGATGGCAAGACTGTTGCCCTGTAGAACAATGAACGAACAAGTATATTTTCACCAGCTCAACGCTGTGCTTTGTGTAGCCTACTAACACACCTCTAATGCAGAAATCATTATCCCTTCAACTTCCAGGTAGTACAGTAAAGCAGTAATGATTGCCGTCATGGACACTCACTGTGCACTAGCAGTTCACATGCCTCATCTCACTCAGTCCTGAGTCCTACTTCACAGATGAGAAAACCAAAGCAGACAGAGCCTGCTACCTGCCCCAGGCCACTGCAGTAGTGTGTATGTACTGGGAGGAAAACCTGGGCTGTCCTACTCTTGTGCTTTTAGTCTTGACTACCTACCACACCTTTGTTAAAGTTGATACCTAAAGAATCACAGTGAGTGATTTGTGTTTTCAAGCTCATCCATGCACTTGGGTAGAAATGAACAATTCAGGACCAAAGTCAGCAAAGACTCCCACAAAGACCAAAAGGGAAATATTTTATGTCTTAAAATGTAGGCACCACTCATAGCTCAGTGACTACAGTTTGTAGACACAGGGCTTAGAGGAAAGCTGAGAGTTTAATGAAGAGGGGAAAAAAAGCCTCACCATACTGTAATAAATTATCAGCATGCAAGAAAAGACTGCTATCCAACAATTTCTGCCCTAGGGAGCTGAGTGAAATACCTCAGGCAACTACCAGGCAGTTCCCTGTTCTCTCTGCAGGATTCAAGATGCCCAACAGACCAATTTAATTTAGTCTAAATGATCGGTTGTCTAAGAGCCATCGCCTAGGTTTCCAAGGGTCCCACCTGTGTGTTTTCATCCTCTGCTAGGCCGTGGGCGAGGTGGGCACTGAAAGTGCTCTTCCCAACGCCGCCTTTCCCAGACAACACCAAGATTTTGTGTTTCACGGTCTTCATTTTCTCTTTGATTTCCTCTATGGCTGCAAAGGAAGCAGTTCAGGTAATGAACTCCCTGCCCAAACCCTGAGGGTTGCTCTTCCAATGGGCTAGGTGAAGCTAACTTTGGGGCTGTTTTAAAGGAATCTGTTGAGACACCACCATTCCTACATCAATGGTAGGAATAGGTACTAACACACACACACAGAGCTATGATCACAATTTAACGTGGCTTATTTATTGGTTTATGTGTTTGTTTTCTCCTCTAGAATATAAATTCAATGAGCACAGGCAGTGTTTGAGGTATCTGCTGCTGTAGTCTCAGCTCCCTGACACAATTTGCAGGTTCAAAACCTGGGTAAAATCCTCCAGGGCAATGTTTGGAGACATTCTGCACGCCACAATGAAAGAGTGCTACTAAGATCTAATGAGTAGAAGACAGAGACGCTGGTAAACGTCTTGACAACACACAGGACTGCCACAGAAGAAAGATCTGGCCCCAAGTGTCAGTAGCTTATGAAGAGAAATTCTGCTTAAATAGCAGGCTGGTAATAAATATCTGTCACAGCTATTATTTACTGTGCTTTAGATGTTTCATCCTATTTCAAATTCTTAAAATGATACTAGGAGGTAACTATTTTCCTCTCTAGTTTTGATGAGGAAGAGATGTTAAAAGTCTTGCTCAAGGTCACAGTTGGAAGTGAGTTCAGGAATCAGACCCAGTCTCTCTTTGAATTCCTACAAGACTCTTCTCCCAGACTCTTGCTTTTCAAGATCTTTCTAAGTGGGTGTTAAAGAGTCCTCCCCACCTTGGAATTTGTCCTTCACAGTAGTTACCGCGGCAGTAATTTATGTATTTGCTTGCTCATCTGTTTGTCTTCCCTATTGAACTAAGCTCCACTAGGGCTGGGGCCACGCCTGTCTCGTTCACAGCTGTCTGTCCAGCACAGTGCACTGTGCCTAGGAGGTGATAACATATATTTCTAACGAATGGGTGGAAGACTCACTCCTCAAATAAAATTCTGCTCAGCTGGCAGAGCTACAATTTAAGTCCGAGGACTCTGAGTTTTCTAACGCTTAGCCCTTCAGCCCTTCCACGTTGGCTACAGTCTCTCAAATCTCAGTCCCGCATTTTTCCGAGCTCAGCCGTCCTCGGGCCCTGTCTTTCTTTAGTAGTCCTTTTGAGGCCACGCCTGTTACTGATGCTTCTGGATCACTTCCCATTCGCTCCCCCTTCTCGCCACCGCCCACCGCTCACCTTTAGGTCACGCCCTCCCCTCCGCTACTTCACCACGCCCCGCCCTCTGTCTACCTAAGCCCCGCCTCTTCCGGGCCCGAGCTTTTCACTTCCCGTCTAAGCTTTGCCCCCTTCTCACCCGGGTCCGGAGCGGCGCCGGCTCCAGAAGCACACAGCCGCTGGTTGGGGCATCCCTGACACGAGGTCCCTCGGCCCGCCTGGGCGCTGTCGGCCCCGGGACAGTCTGCGCGGAGGCAAGAGCACAGTTAGAAGAGCTCGCGCTCCTTCAGCCCTGCCACTCACGCCCACTTCGCGAGCTCACCGTGCGGCACCTCCTCCATCCCGTCGCTCTGGTAGTCGACGCAGTCGCCGGAACTAGCGGTGGCGCATTTCCGCCTCGCGGGCCTAATCTGACTCTCCAGCGCGCCAAATAAGTCTCCGGAGTGGAAATACACTGCGTCGTGACTCTGGCGCCGGAAGGGCGAGGCTGTTACAGTTTTGCTTCCTAGACAAGTGAGCTGCGGCTATCTTTAATAAATACTTGTGCATGTATCGCCTAAGAACCTTCTCTGTAGCCTAAATGACGTTTTGTGCCCAAGAAATTTCATATTGATGCAAGCACTTTTAGGTAATACACAATCTGTATTCAGATTTTATAATGTTCGAAATAACCCCTGTGCCGCTCCTGTCCTCGATTCAACGGAAAAGCATACAGTACCCGCTAAGTCTCTTCACTACTTTTTAATTCAGAAGAGCCCTCTTTTTCTTCGTTTTTGGTCTTTGATCAGCCTGACAGGTTTTGAAGACTTTTATGCAGTACCCCATAATCCTGATCTATCTGCTCTTCTTGCCCCATTATTGGACTCAAGTTTTTATTTTCTCTCCTCAGAACAGATTTGAGTGTGTATTTGCCGTTGAATATGTGGTACGTAATTTCAATTTGTCCTGCCATTGAGAATGTGAGGTTTGATGCTTTGGTGAAGGTGCTCTATGCCTCCTTTCTCCAGGGAATGGGACCCGTCTCCGTTTGCAGGTAACAAAGACTTTCTGGGATAATGCCCCGAGATCATGTGAATACCCATTGCCTCAGTCAGTTACGTTGGTATTTCCGGTCTGTGATTGTTCTGTGTCCTATCATAATTGTTATCTTTACATTTATTTATTTAATGTATTTGGTTGATATAGGGTTTCATTACGTAGCTCGGACTCATAGTGATCCTCCTGTTTTCAGCTTCCCCGGCTCCGGGATAATAGGTGTGCGCCATCAGGCTGAGCTCTAGGGGCGGGGATGGCCCGGCATGTGGTGCCCGGGATTGAACCCTGGTCCCAGCGCTTGCCTAAGCTTGCCTAAACAGGCGCTTTAGTCCATTGAGGTATCTTGCCGACCCCCGTCTTTACATTTATTAACTGGAACTTTGTTTTGGGGAGGGGGATTTTATTATGGACTTGTGGATTTTTAAAAATTATGTGTTAAAAAATAAAAAATAAAAATTCTGTGTTTTACAGTCAACCATTATTTCTGGTCATCCCCAACTTGACCAGTAATGCTTTTTAAGCCTAGTGTCATGTCCTTTGGCCCTGAGCCATATCTCCAAGGACCCTGGTTACTTTCAGTGCTAGTATTTAGGAACTCAGGTTGGGTGCTACATGTGGTCATTGCTTTTCCAGTATCGTTACTTCTAGGCTTGGCATAAATTCTAATGTGCATACACACTTTACCTGCCCCAGGCACTAAGGACATAGAAATCATTTATTGAACAGTAACACTGGGGCTAGGGAGATGGCTCAATAAATAAACACTTGCCTGGAAGGGCCTGAGTTCAATCCCCAGTTCCACAAAAAAAAAGGCTCTAAACAGTAACATTATCAGTTGCCTGTCACTACCACTGTCCAGCCCTCTGTGGGGCCAGGCCACCGGTGGCTCATGCCTCCAGACTGACATGTCCCCTGCCGTCCTGGAGCCCAGTGTCATTGGGATAACATAATTAGTCATGTAATTATAGATAAATGCTATGACCGATGAAGGCCAGGTGCAGAGGGCAGGGAGGTTCCTCGAGGGGCCACATGTGAGTCAGAGCCTGCAGGCTGAGTGGGACACACTGGCTGGGGATGGGTGGCAGATGGTGTTTCATGCTGACCAGGCAGCAGCAGCTACAGTCTGGAGGGAGGGAGGGAGTCTCCTGTCAGGTTGAGACTGTTAGTGAGCAGTGTTTCCGAGGAGTACTAGCCCATAAAACCAGTATGTGGCAGGACAAGAATATGAACAAATTCTAATATACAGCCTAAGTTTCTCACACTATGCCCTATATGCAAAGATGGATGTAAATTATTTGTCTTTATGGCAGAAGGTGGAGCTCAGAGAGGTTGGGATCACAGCCATCAGGTCCCACTGGAGCTCTTCCAACCAGGGGATCTTTTTCTCTGGCACGCTGCTGGGGCCTGAAACAGGACAACGTGGGTTCTTTCTTCCTTCTGACGCTCAAGGGACATTTCCTTGTGGGTTCCTCTAAGCTGTTTTCAGCAGTGACCCTACTTCCCATCACTTGGGTGCTGATTGCACAGGGACCTGGCCACTCAGCTCACAGCCAGCCTTTGTGTGGTGGTGGGAAGAAATGCCTCTTTTTCTAGGTTCTCTCAGCTCACCCCATCTTGTTCTTTTTCTTTTTTTCCATCTCATTCTTAACCAGAGTAATTATGCCTGCTTGCTGCAGGGATCCCCTTTTGGCTTTTTTTTTTCTACTGGGACTAGAGATTGAACTGAGGGCCTTCACACTGAGCTACATCTCCAGCCCTTTTTCAATTTTTGAAGCAAGATCTCCCTACATGGCCTGGGCTGGGCTTGAACTTTCAGTCTTCCTGCCTTGGCCTCCTAGAGTGATGGGATTACAGGTGTGGGCTGCCATGCCCAGCAATGGTCATACTTAAGGTGAGTGCCCCTGGAGACTACTCACGGGCTCCTTCTAGTCATACTTGCCACATCCTCCCTGGGCGAGCAGCTGCGCATCTTGGCATCATCCAGTCAGAGCCATTCCTTAATGTCCGCCTCTGGCCCCTATTTCTCCTCAGCTCAGATCTCTTAGGTCCCAGGCCATGCTGTGTATCAGAAATATCCAGACTTCTCGGAGCATTTCCAGTTCTGGACTTCTTACCTCTATTAATGCCCACTTGGTTAAGATCTTAAGCTGCAGATCTGACCCTGTGGCATCCCTCATTCTCCACCTCTCTCCTGTATCACTTACTATGTGCTGTATAATACGCAGCTGTTTAGGCCCACAGTGGCTTGTTCTTCATGACTCTTCTCGTTTACCTGAGCTCACTCATGTGGCTTTACTTAGCCATTAGCGCGGCAATTACTTTTATTTTTATAGGTCAGGATTACTCACGTGATTAAACCAGAAGGCGTATAGGAAGTACAGTATTCTCAGCCCAGCCATGTGCTCATCAGCTGGAGGTAGAGGAAAATGCCCGGTCATGGTGATGTCTCTCCCAGGCTACTTCTTTCGCACCCTTTTCTCACACAAAGCACTGTCGCTCTGCTGCCCCCTAATCTTCAGTGACTCCCATGGCCCATTGTCTGTGTTCAGTGGGCTCCTTTCTACCCTCCAGCTCCATTTTCACTGAGTACCAGTGTGAAGTCCGGGCTCTGCTGAGGAGTGGTTGGGTCTGCCAGGAGTGTCCTTCTCCCAGGCCTCTGCCCATCCAGCCTTGCTGGTATGGTCAGGTACTGCAGCAGCTCCTTCCCGGTGCCATTATTCCTGCCGTGGAGTTTGCTGTTTTCTCTCCCCCTGAGTGCAGTGTGCTCTAAAAGTTTTGAGCACCATGCTCTGTTCTAAAAACATCCGAAGCATGAATGTTACAAATATTCGAAATCAGCATTCCAGATTTGTGAGTTTCTTTTACATTTATGTAGTTCTATGTGTTTGAAAGGCTAGATTTAAATATTTTAAAAAAATTCAGTCCTTTTGATTAAGACAACAGAATTAGAGTTAAATGATACAGTGTTTTAAATTCACAAAAATTAGGTACCAAAGACATTTTAAAAATAAGGCTACAAAACTATGAAGATCATGAAAGGAACAGGAGTTGAGGGGTGGGAGGAAGATAGGAGTTGGGGGTGGCGGAGAAGGGGGCAGAGTGTGTTTTAGGGCAGGAACACTGCTGTAATGTCACGTATCATTGCACATGTGCTGAGTCCCATAGAATGTGAACCATGATGTAACCTGGACACTTCAGTAATGACATTTTCACACAGGAGCCACACTAAAGCAAGATGTTTAATAGTCAGGGGAGCTGGGGGCAAAGGGGAAATTGTGGGAATTCTCTGATCTCTTGCTCAGTTTTTCTCTTACACCTAAAACTACTCCCAAGGTCTGTTAAGTCTTTGAATATGTGTCTGTACAGCTAAAGGTAGGACGCCGTGTGCACCTGCTCTGAGGCCCAGCCACGCACTACAGTCACCTGGGAACTTTCCAAAAACCCTTGTGCTGGGGGCCAAACCCCCACCGTTTGGTCAGGATCAGGGGCTTGGGGCATGGGCATGTTTAGACAGCCCTTGAGGCTTTTAGCAGTGGGATCACAGACTTCCAGCAGGAAGCGGCGAGGCAGGTGATGACACAGGACTGAGAGTGCGTGGCTACGGTCAGATGTGTGCAAATCCTGACCCCTCCTGAGCTGGATGACAGTGGACAAACCACTTCCCTAAGCCTCAGTTTGCTTCTCTGTAAAACAGTCATAATAGAAACATTTGCTTCACAGGGTTCCTGGGGACAAAGTAGTGCACACACAAAGAACAAGCGATGTGGAGAGCAAGGGCCCTACATTTATGTTTAAGGAAATTTAGGGCTGTAGATTAGAGTGGCAGAGATGGGGTTCTGCACCCTCATTTACAGAGTGGGGAACTGAGGCTGAGGCACAATAGATAAGAGGGTGAAATGAGCCCAGAGTCTGGGTCAGACCAGCTACAACTTAGCTGCTGCTTCATAGTGTTTCCAGCAGGGTAGTCGGTCAGCAAGCACCCTTTGAAAACGCATTTCTGGATGCACCCGAGGTGCCTGCAGTTCCCCAAATGCACCAGTAGGTGGAGATATTCTACCTAGGATCAAGATGACACGGAAATGGAAAAAAAAAAATCTAGTGCAGGATTTTCTACCCATTTCTTGAGGTCCAGCAAAAATATCTTCTGTGTGTTCTCTTAGTATGTTAATCTTTCTTTTAGTTTCTCCAGCATGTAGAATACAGTTATGATAACTTAAAATGCCTTCATTGACTATTATGTACTATGTATTATGTCTGGTTTGATTTAAATTGATTTCCCTCTCATGGGTTGTAGTTTTCTGCTTCTTTGTACACCCGCTGAATTTTTATTCGATGATATTGCGGATTTTAATTTATTGACTCTTGAAAATTTTTATACTCTTACAAATACAGTATTCTTGATATTTGTTCTAGGGCATAGCTAATTTACTTAAAAATATTTTTATTATTTTGGGACTTAACTTTTAAACGTTATTAAATGAGACCAAAGTGGTATGAGTCTAGAGCTATTTTTGTCTTAAAATTGAGGGAAAAATCTATGTGGTTATTTGACTTGCTACTAACATGAACTATAGAAATTTCTCCTGTGGTCAGTGGGATCTAGAGCTGTTCCCAGCTGCGTGTGAGCTCCTGAGATTGTTCTCCTGGATCGTTTCGGGAGGTTCACTTCACAGCTTGCTCATGTACATGCTCTACTCAGCACCCAGCTGATGACTAGGCGGCCCTGCGCAGGCCCACTGCGGCTCTTCCCACGTTGCTCTCTGCTCCTGCACGCTGTCCTTTGCCCTCCCACCTTCCCATCTCCATCTCCTTGAGAAGGCTGCGTTGCTGGTCTCTCTTTGCTGCACTGTTCTCATGCCTCGGACAGGAGCCTCCTCCAGTCTTTGGAGAGATCATGGGGTTCGCCTCAGCTGTTTCCCATTTCATGCCATCACTGTCCTGTCTGATGCCCATGGTCTCAAAAAATCTTTATGTATTTGGGGCATTTCTTGAGTTGTAGAATATAGAATAGAAAAATTTATCCTTATTCCATCATGTCAGGAAGTAGAAAACCTTTCTAGCTTTTTGCTGCTGCATACACATATATGTGTGTATCTGTTGGTGTTTTATATATAGTATTATATGACATACGGTATGCATAAAATATATATGTGCTCTTATGTTGTTTGAGGAATAAACTTGAAATCTTTAAAAATATATAAGCTATTATATGTGTATTTTGTAGGTTTATATGAATATACATGAAACGGCATGGAAGACTTTGAAAAGTCCCTCTCTGGCTCCACCCACTCCAACCCCACCATGACTTTATCACCCTGGCATTGTTCCTCGTGTGTGTGTGTGTGTGTGTGTGTGTGTGTGTGTCTCCCTGTGTCTCTACTTCAGTGCGCACACACACATTTCTTAATGTACCTTGTAAAGCACGTTTTATCACAGACCTAGGTCTGATGTCTTTTTATGCTACAGCATGTGCCGAGGAACGGATGTTCTGTATTTTATTTAACTACTGCCTACCGGAGGACATTTTGGTGGGCTTGCTGAACACAGCTCTGCAGGAATTTTAGCATGCGTAGACGCATGCATCTGCAGGCAGCTTTCCAGAAGATTGCTGGGTGCCAGCCTACGCTGGTGTTCTAAGCACCAAAAAGATATTTTCTGAAATTCAAAGTGGAAAAAAATATTACTGTAGAATACGATTTTAGTTTCTAAGTGATACAAATGGACATGGATGTCTGATATGAAAACCAGACACCTCCCTCTGGATTTTCTCTCTTCCTTATGTGTGAGCAAGTGTGTGTCCCTGTTTTGTGGGTCTGCTCTGCCCTGCTGGGGGCCTGCTTCCAGTACCAAATATCTCAGGAAAACAAAGGTAATGAACAGACTCCCGCTGTGCTTGGGGTGTGCAGGGTGTGCTGCTGGCCGAGTCGGGGTAGAGCCTGTGCTGTCCGCAGCATCCTGCCCTTCCTGTCTTCATCCTTTCTTCCTGGTTTAGCACAGTGATCTGGTGTGGTGCTCACAGGGTGCCCAGGCCCACTGCTGCGAGCATGTGTAATGCCTGTGTACCCACGCCTGGGCAGGGGTCAGGAGTGTGTGGGGTGTTTCTCCCCGAAGGATGCTCTGCTGCGAGCTAGGACAGACCCAAATGCATCTGAGCCACCGTTGGCACTTTTTGGCTGCTCTGAGGCTCCCCACAGCCCAGAAGATGCCTCTCCAACTCCAGGCAGTGTCCTGAGCCCAAGCCGTATGAGCAGTTCCATCTTGTTACAGAGCCCCCAGTGTCTGCTGGGCCCATGGGTCAGCCTCACAGGGTCAGTCACAGTGAGTCTCCTTTGTGTTCCCAGTGTCCTCTCATACCTGACCTCACACACCACACACGCAGGCTTTCACACCCTCACCACCCCTCCATTCGCATACACACAGCTTGCACACTCTCACAAGGCACACTCTCAGCCACATAAACACATTTACACGTTCACATTTGCTCACTCGTGTGCTCTTACACATCATCTTATAAACACATGCATATACGTACGACTGTTACACAAACCCATGTATCAGCATACACAAGTGTGTACATGCTCATGCTCCTGTTCACTCACACATGCGTAGTCTCACACACTCAAACTCATTCTCCCAGAAGCTCATTGTCTTCCCTGCACCCCTGCACACACAGCCTGTGCTCTGGCACTCACGCGTGCACACTGCTGGCCCGGCTGGACCCCCAGTGACTGCAGTGATGTTACTTGTGTTGAGAGAACAAGGACACGCTAACACTCAGTGCTCTGCTACTTCTCCTGCAGCGGGCAGCAATGCTAGTAAGCTGAGCAGGGTTTGGAGGTGGTGGTCCACTGCCACTGTTTCCGATACAGAATGTACAGAAGAGCACACCCAGAAGCCCCTCTGGCCTATCCCAGCTCTTCTGCCTAGAAGCCGCCATACTGCCCGGGCCTCTGCAAACCTGTGCCACCCCCAACCCGATATCTCCCCCATGGACTGTATCAGTCCCTTGCCACTCCCTGGGTGACTATGGTCTCTTCACTGGCCATCAAGCTTCAAGATCATTCCATATCAGCACCCACAGCATTCCCAGCCCTGCACTGCAACACAACACAACACAATACAATACAATACAATACAATACAATACAATAGGCCCTAGACACATGAGTCTATTTAAATTTAAATTTAAATTTAAATAAAATGAGATGAACTTAAAACTTTGTTATTCTACTGATGAGCCATGCGTGATTCACAGCTACCAAACCTGGCATGCAGAACAGCACAGGTTCGCCATCACTGCAGAAATTAGCAGCAGCAGCAGCGGTGCCACTCCGGCCATACCTGGTGGCAGCCTCCAGGCCTTCCTCCTACAGATAGGAGGCTTTCTCCTGGAGTGACCTGGATTGACTCTTCTTAGCCAGAGAGTTCAAGACAGACCCAGTCAGGTCCCAGGCAAAGACTGAAAGGAAGTAAGGTCCCCTAAACATTGGCCTGGGGTCTCCAAAGGGTAGGTGTAAGAGTAGGCGAGAGGACAAGAAATCAAATTCCTGGAGACACAGAGCCCCCCTCCAGTGTCACCAACCCTCTGCCACCTCCATGGAGATGGGGATTCTGCCAACCACACGGCATTTTTTTTAAGTGTTTTTTGTTTTTGTTTTTGTTTTTTTCCGGAACCGGGGATTGAACTCAGGTCCTTGTGCTTGCCAGGGAAGTGCTTATTCCACTGAGCCATCTCCCCTTTTAGGGAAGGGTCTACAGGATATTCAGGGTCTCACTACTAGAGCAGACTCATAGTGATCCGCCTGTTTACAGCCTTCCAAGAGCTGGGATTACAGGTGTGCACTACCATGCCCAGTCTCAATTGCCATCTCAGAGAGCGGCACAGCAGGCCTGGGGATTGAACACCCCCCTACACACACACGGGCCTGCTTGCAAGAGCTTTAACCCGCTGAGCTATTTGGCTGGCCCTCACATGGCATTTCTTAAAGAGTTTTTCTTCCACATGATTTAAGAGAGATGGAAAACCATCTTCTGCAGGTGACAGAGTCTCCAAGCAGCAGAGCACCTGGGGCATTTAAAGTCCTAGCTAGGCATGGAGACACATGCCTGTGATCCCAGCTCTTGAGAGACTGAGGCCGGATGGTTGCTGCAAGTTCAAGGCCACACTGGACCACTTAGTGAGTTCAAGGCAGCTTGAACTGCAAAGGGAGACCCTGCTTCAAGATAAAAATCAATAAAACCTCCTCCTCTTCTGGGGGCTCCATGTGCAGTGTCGAGGGACTAAATGGCATCAAGTAAGTCACCAAATAGTTTCACGGCAGACATTTCTCCTCAGGAAGAATAAGGAAGGAAGATAAATGGCAAGCACTGCTTCTTGGACTAAAATACAGACTAATCATAAAGTCTCAAACCAAGAAACTGATTCTTATTTCAAGCCAAAATGGGTTAGTTTTCTAGCTCAGAAAATTAACCAAAAATGTGTTTCAATTTTGAGGATATTGTTTGAATTCAGCTAAAGATTTCATATAAGAACTAAAATAATCGCTTTCCAAATAAAAATTCTACTGCTTGCAGCTTGCACTCTATTTTGCTACTTGACCATGGCTTAGATTATTGTTTTTCTTTATAGCAGGAAAAAATGCAAGCTCAAATATGCATACACATATGTAACAGCTGGCCAAAAATATGCAATGGGTGCAAAGCCAAACATCAAAACTTCTGACATTCTTTCCTGTAAGGAGTCCCATCTTGCTGAGGAAAGTGAAACCAGATTCCTGAATGGCCAACAGGCAGCCCAGTTGGCTTCTTGGGTGACTCACTTTCCTTCTGTGGGGACAGACTCCCAGTGTGTCTCACTTTCACATAGCTCTCTAGGTCCTTTAAGCAAGTGACTAGCAGCCCAGGTGAGTGAGTCTTGGACGCTTCCACCCTGTGGAGAGCCATCCACCCTGGGAGTGTCCCCATGGGGCATGCTTTGCGCCCTCTTGGGCTAGTCTAAGATTCCTCCCCCTCCCCCAGAAGCCTGATGGGATAGGTCTCAGGGAGCCCCTCCCCAGCCCTGGTGTTCACGCGTGTTCATGCCTGAGCTCTCCCATAGCTAGCACTGGGGCTGTGGCCAAGTCAAACAAACAGGCAGGGGCTGCCACACCAGAGTGGGACTTATGGTATCTCAGTCAGGAGCCAATGCTGGGGCTCCTTCCACCTCTGCCCCTTCCCACAACCGCAGGGCAGTCTTTCAGCCAAATGAACCTGTGTTTTATAGGATGTCAAGTAATGCAATCACAGGAGATATAGCCCTTTGTGCCTTGCTACTTCTAGAGAGCCTCGGATGCTTGAGATTTAGTCCTGTTGCTGTGAACCAATTTACTGAGTAGGATTCCCTGGTAGGGGAGGAACATTCGAATGCCATCTTGGGAGCAAAGAAAGAAAACTAACTTTGACCAAACTGACCCTGAACTGCTTGAATTTCCTGGAATTGAACTTCAGTTAATTTTCTCCCACTGGGCTAAATTAGGTCCCAAATGATGGAGTTTGTTGTTATGGAGGGACAGATAATGATGTCACTTCTGGCATCCCCAAGTCTGTGGACTGTGACTTTCAGGTTCACTTTTTGGTTTTGTTTCATTTTGGACAGTTCAACCTCAGCTGGCCTGAAAGTGGGTGAGGGCCCCGCTCAAAGTCCTCCCCAGCCTTTGTGACACCACGGCAAGTCACAGAGGTCCTGCCTGTTCCTAAGAGAAGCCCTCTACCCTTTCCTGGTGATGCCTTACCCCCTCGGCAGAGTTGTGCTCCAGTGAGGCTGATGGGGAAGGATGGAGTTTCTCGGAACCACTCAGGCTGCCAGTTACTGCGGCCCCAGGAAAAGTTGTGACTTCACCCAGAGGCCTTCTACTGTGCAGGCTCCTGTGGTCCAGGAGTGCTACCAGCCCTATCACCTGCCCGGGTACCGCTACCTGAATGCGTGGAGACCCAGCCTCTTCTACAAGATTTCCACACCCCAGACTTGCCCCGATGAGTGTCGCAGCACCCTGCGTCCACCCACTGTCCTGCCTGCACTCCGCTCTGCACTCTTCTGTCGCTACAGCCCCCACGACTGGGACCAGTCCAACCAGCAGCAGATCCGCGGGGCCGAGGCCTCACGGTTGTGGGCCAGCCGCCTGACAGGTGATTCCATGCGGCTCATGCAGGACAAGGAGCAGCTGACGTGCCAGATGCAGGAGGGCACCTCCTGGAAGCTGGGCCAGAGGCTGTCGGACATCGGCTTCTGGAAGTCTGAGTTATGCTACGAGCTCGATCGGCTGCTGGCCGAGAACCGCAGCATGGAGAACATCAAGAGGCGGCTGGAGTGTGCAGCTGAGGAGCTGAAGTGTCCACTGCAAGTGAGTGCCGCTGCCCCAGGGCCATGTCCCTGCTCTGTCTGACTTAAAGATCAAGGGGATGGGCACTCTGCAGGTCTCTGTGGTACCTCGTGGGATCAGATGTTTAAGGTAAAAATGTAATCTTAGTCAGCCCAGGATCTCAACTGGGGGCTTCCGAGGCTGAACATTGACTTCTATCCTTTGGTTAGGGGTTCATTGAGACACTGCGCATGACTGATCATACCTGTGTGTGCCTGTCCACATGTATTAGAGGACATATTGAAAATACTAGCTTTATTTTTCTCTGTAACATTTGCCATCTTCTAACATACTCTTAATTGTTTTTCCATGTCTGTTAGAATATAGGCTTCACTGGGTCAGAGACCTTTTGTATATTTTATCACTGACATACTCAGGACTGATTTTCCATTAATTGCACCTGTTTGTTAAGTGGATCCTCAGTGACCATGTTTGTGCTGATTGACTGTGTCTACTAATGTTTTGAATGTGCTCCCGAGTCGAGGGGCCAGTGTGACCCATAACAGGCATACAGCAAACATTTGTTGAACAAATGTATATATGTATCTTCATGTGGTCATTCCTTTCATTTTGGTCTCAGTACTGGGAATTGAATCCAGAACCTTCGCACTGAGCCACTTTCTCGACTTAGTCTGAGCCCTTCCAAGCCTTCCGAGGCAGGGTTTCACTGTGGTGTTCTCAGTTGCCCAGGCTGCACTTGAACTTGTGCTCTTCTGGCCTCAATCTCCCAGAGCACTAGGATTACAAGTGTGTGGCACCGCTCCCGGCTCATGTGGACGTGCCTGACACTTCCGTCGTGTGCTAGGTTTCTTTTCATGCCCCGGATGAGCTAGGATTGCTTTTGGCTGTGTGTAACAGGTACTCCGTGACTGCGGCTTAGTCAAACAGGAATTTATTTTTCCGTCACAATCAGAATCCCAGACAGAGGCAGACCAGTCTGCTGCAGTCTCCCCTTGATGCCCAGAGGGACCGGGTTTCTATCTTTCTGCCATCCCATAGCCTGTGGCTTTTGTCGTACTGTTTGCAAGGTTTCATATTTCATATTGCGAGCGCCTGCATGCAAAGAGCATTTCCCCGTTCTCACTAGCGGCAGGAAGTAGGGCAGGGCGAAGGGCAAGCAATGTCAGCTGTGCCTGTCTCTGGATACCAGGGAATATCTGTTTTTCCAGAAGTATGTGTTTCCCTTTTTAGCTCATTTGCAAGAACTCACAGGGACTCCTTGGATGCGGAGGGATTTGGGTAAGCAAATGTTTTTCTCTGCATCTTGAAGAAATTCCTGGAAGGAGTTGGACATTGAGTAGAAAACTAGCGAGGTCTTCTTGGTCCTGTGGGAACTAATCTTGGCCACATGGGAGAGGGTTCTGCTGTTCCTGGAGTATGTGGGGGACTCAAGACCTCCTGCCTGGAGGAGGAGACTTTTCCACAACGTATGGAGACTTTGATAGGGGAGAGTCCTCCCTCCAGATCCCCGGGGAGACAGCCTCAGTTCCCAGCACTGTGGGATTCCAGGCCCATGGGGGAGGGAGTCAGATGTTTCCTCCCTTCCCTCAGTGTCTCTTGGCAGGGGAAGGCCAGGGCTACTGCTCAGATCCTCGCAGCAGTACCTAAAGCCGATTGCACTCCCCTCCCACTCTCTTCTCACTCCCCCAGCCTGTCTGGAAAGCCCAGCTCTGCCCAGTCACATGTGGCCTCCTTTGATCAGCCACATGGTGGCATGGAGACCAGAGACATTTCAATTCTACCCACTTCCTTTCTCTCCTAATCTTTCTCCTCTGTCTGTATGCCACTGTCTGGATAGCGATGACCACCTCTTCCCAAGGCTGCCAGCTTCTGCTCCTTCCATCCTGTCCCCAGCAGCAGGAGTGATTTTCAACATCAAACCTGCTCTTGGCATTCCCACACTGGCTCAAAGGCTTCCCTGCATGTGGCAACTTAATTTGCAAATTCCTCTGTCCCTCCCTTGTAACCCTCCCTGTGCTATGTTGCTCCAGCCTCCCTTTCCCCACTGCAATCCCTGCATTTTCTGCTGCTCCTCCACGGACCCCAGGGCCTTTGCACCTTTGCACCCAGCTCTTCTCCCCACACCTCTTGAAACTCTGCTGCTTATGACTGAAGTCCCCATTTGTCTCTTCCCCAGAGAAGCCCTCCCTGCCCACCCTGCTGGCTGCTCCCTGCCCACATGCAGAATCCTGATCATTTGCATTGCAGCCCCTTTCACAGCAATGGCCCTGTTTCTTAAATATGTTCTTCCTCTCTGTTGCAATACAGGCTGCATGAGAACAGGGACCCTGTCTGGCTGCTTCACTGTGTACGCCCAGCACTGCCCTGAAGCGCAACTCCGAGGAAGGGCTCCTAGACTCATGGAGATAGCCAGTGAATAACTCTCCTCTCTGAGGTCCCAGGTGATCCCTGGCTTCCCTCCCTGCCCCATTGCTCTTTGTGACGTCACAGGATGGTGGCCAATCACCATTCTTCCTGAGCCTCCTGCTGCAAGCAGAGCAGGCCTTTCTCTTCCTGCCTGTCAGGCCCCTAACAGTTGGAAGCCCAGCTTGCCTGGATCTCACTGTGCCCCAAACACTTTCTGACGCTCTCTTGCCCTCCAGAGATCTCCAAAGAGGACCTTCCCCATATATCCATTGGGAAGATTCTTGGACGAGGCAGGGAGTGGCTTTGCACTTCTCAGGCTGACGCCCACTGCACACCAATCTGAAGGGCACACACCCATCTTGCATTCATGTGCCAGTGAGAGAACGGGTGTCAGAGAGGTTGAGTGAGCTGCCTAAACACACACCATAGGAGGTGGCTCAGCCTGGATTTGAACCCAGGAGACAACTAACATTGGGGGCAGCAGCTGATCCTGTCTCATCTGAAATTACAGGGGAGTTTCGCTCTATTTATTATAATTTAGGAAGGCTTGGACAATTTATGGAGATTATGGGGGAAGAGTGTTAGTCTCCCCTGCCAATCATGACTGGTTCTCAGGACAGTGCCTTATCTTCTGCATGTGGCCTGTGTCTGCCAGTGCACTGGCCTGGGCATTGTACAGCCCCCACTAAGGGTGTAGGGGAGGCAGAAGCACATCCAAAGTACAGTGATGAGGCCCCGTGAAGCAGCTAGAGAAAAGGGCAGCTTATGGCAAAGGTAGACCTGAGCGCCTGCATTCAAGGCCCACATGCAGCTGCACAGAGAACAGACACGTCTGCACTGCTTCCTACAGGTGGCCCTGGAGTGCCTGTACCACCGGGAGAAAAGGATCGGGATCGACTTGGTTCATGACAATGTGGAAAAGAATCTTATCCAGGTGAAGTGTCTCCTGGGCCTGCCTTATCCCAAGGAGAGGGGAGGAAGGGCCAGCTGGTCAGAAAAGGCCCATGATGCCCAGTGGGCACAATGCTACATATGTTACCCTGTGGAAAGTCAGGGCTCAGAAAGCATGGTGGAGGCCAAGGAGGCAGTCAGAAACAGGGAGAAGTGGAGTTATTTGACCTTTAGTTTTGCCACATCCAGAATGGGCATAATAATGGTATGACCACCAGCAATAATAAAAGCCATCTACCATAGGCCACTTTGTATGTACTATTTATACTATGTGCCATATGGCACATAGTAGGTGCTGACTTTCCTTTTAATCTGGAAGTGTATGAAGAGAAATGAAAGTAGAACAAAACATGGAGTCTCCACAATTGACACTTAGCTGTGTTGCCCTGGGGTTCACAGACTGAGAAGAAAAGCCAGTCTCAGCCTTTCACCTGGTAGGGTCAAAGTTGGGCGGGAGGAAGAGAAGGTTGAAGGCACTGCCCTGTGCGTTTCTGACCAATGACTTCTCTTTCTGATATTTTTCATTACAGGAAGTAGATTTGCTAAAATGTTGTCAAGAACGGATGAGACAATTAGCTCAAAGAGTTGATATCCAGATGCGGTAATGGATTCTTTCTGTTGTGGTCCCTTGGGGTTCGTTTTGGGACTTCTGGGCTTCCAAGAGTAGGCCATATGAGCCCACTTATCTTGGGGTGGCTCCTTTGCCAGTGGTGTGCTCCTAAATACTTTACAGCCAGCTCTTAGGAAAAACAAGCAGCTACAGTCCTCACATGCAGGATGTGTTGACTTTTGTGAAGCCAGTGCTGCCCCAGGAGCTGAATGCAGGGTAACAAGAGGAGTTTCTTGAATGGGCCCAAGCAGCCCCCATGAGCATCGCATCGCTGATTTCTCCTGGTTGCCCGAGGGCCTGGCCAAGGGCGCTGGACCTCCCTGAAGCCCCTCTTGGTGGCTAGATTTGAGCCTGGAGAAATGGTCAAGGATGAACAGCATTAGGCAATGAAGTGAGGGACCAGGGAATCCCCAGAAAGGAGCTGCTGGACGCCTTGAGCTAGGAATCTTCAAAAGGAAACAGCTTTTTGTTCTTAGAAGATGATGTAAGCAGTATCATGACAAGCCAGGGGGCCCTCTTGTAATTAAAGGGAGGACTGAGTTTTACAGGTCTTGGGGCCCCCAGCTCCCAGAGGTGGCCTCCCCACCTGGCCCTGCAGTTGGGCACACCTTTAACTCTCTCAGGGCACGCTGCTCTGCTGGTTTTCCCTCTTCACTGCCTCTGCACGGGCAGTGTGGGGTGGGGCTGGGGCTGCTGGAGATCTTGCCAGGCTGCCTTTCCTGTTCAGCACTGGGCAGGAGCAGCTGCTAGCTGTAGAGGGCTTGGACCGCGTGCAGATGGGTGTGGAAGCTGCAGTCTTTGTTGGCTTGGCCTTGAGGGTCAGAACTGGAAGTTAGGGATAAAATGAGTTGCCCAGGATAAGACAGGGAAAGACACTGCAGAAAAGCTACCCGAAGACCATCTCGCTTGGTCAAGAACAGGCAAGTTGGGGTGACCTAGAGGGACATCAGAGGTGGAGTGGTACAGGAAAGATCCACTTAAAAAGTGACCATGGAAAGGAGCAGAGCAGGGGTTGCCACAGGCTCAGTGCCAGCCACTTCCTGGCATCGTGAGGCCCTGGGTTCTACCACCGCTGGGGAGGGGGAGTGGGGACAGAGTTCAGTTATTCCCATGTCATGATGTTTGGCCATTCCACCCACTACAACTGATTTATTTTTTTAAAAAATGGCAGGGGCGCAGTTCAGTGGTGGAGCACTTGCCTGGTATGCATGAGGCCCTAAATTCAAACCCCAGCACCACAAAACAAACAACCCCCAAATTAAAACACCAAACAAAAACAAATACTTCCATACTTGTATTTAAACAGGGAAATTTCACAAAGGGAAAGCTTTGAGTAAGCCCAGTATTTTTGTTTTATTGTTTAAGTTTTCTCTCTCTCTCTCTCTCTCTCTCTCTCTCTCTCTCTCTCTCTCTCTCTCTTTCACTCTCTTTCTTCTTTTTTTTTTTTTTTTTTTGTAGAACTGCGGATTGCACTCAGGCCCTTGCACTTGCCAGGGAAGCGCTTATTCCACTGAGCCACCTCTCCCACCCTGTTTAAGTTTTCTTGAACTTAATTTTTTTTTAATTTCAGGGAAGGGTCTACAGGGTGGTCAGGGTCTTACTACTAGAGTGGACTCTAGTGATCTGCCTGTTTACAGCTTCCCAAGAGTTGGGATTATAGGCACACATTACCATGTCCAGTCTCTCTTGAACTTAATTTTTAAAAACGATAAAAAATATATCATGCATTCCAGAATGTTTTTGAAATAGCTATACATTGAAGATAGGTTAAATTAAAATAATTAGCATATATTTTACCTCACCTACTTTTTTTCTCTTAAAATCTACTGCTTATGGTTTTTAAGGATATAAGGGCCGGCCAGATAGCTCAGCAGACTAAAGCACCTGCTTAGGCAGAGCACATGGGTGGGGGGTTCAATCCCCTGCACAACATCCTGTGCTGGCCCTGCCCCCAGGGCACACTGAGACAGGGACTGAGAATGGGTGTGGTGGCACACGCCTGTAATCTCAGCACTTGGGAGGCTGAAACCAGGAGAATCACTATGAGTCGGATCTATATAGTGAAACCCTGTATGCCCTACACTAAATACATTTTTAAAAAAGAATACAATATATTGCTATTAATTACATCACCACATTGTTATAACAGCTGTCTTTTGAATTTATTTCTTCTAACTAAATTTTGTGTCCTTTGACCAACATCAGCCCTGCCCCCTTCCCTGGTAGCCACCACTCTACTCTCTGTATCTATAGATTACATTTTGTAAGAATCCACGTATAATTGAGCGCCTGTGGTATCTACCTGCACATGGATTATTTCATTTACCACCATGTCCTCTGGTTCCATTAATACAGCCTCAAAGGACAGGATTTCATTCTGTCTTTAAGGTTGAGAAGCACGGCATTGGGTACACGTGGCACATTTTCTTCCTCCGTCAGCGAGTGGGCTCTTATGTGAACTCCACATCTTGGCTATTGTGAGCAAGGCCGACATCCCTTCAGCATCTAGATTCTACTTCCTTTGGCTATATATGAGCAGTGGACAGCTGGGTCACTTAGTCGTTCTGTTTTGGGACCTCCATCCTCCTTTCCATAAAGCCTGCACTAATTTACATCCCCACCAACAGGGTCCAAAGTTCTGTGTTCTCCAAGACCTCACTAACAGTTGCTATCCTTCATTTGCTTGATAATAGCCATTCTAACAGTTATGAGGGCTGAATTTACATTTCTCTGATAAGTAGTGGTGCCAAGTATTATTTCACAAGGCATTGGTCATTTGTATGTCTTTGTTTGGGAAATATTTATTAAGACCCTTTGCCATTTATAAAACCAGGTTGTTTTCTTGCTATTGAGTTGTATTATTTATATGTTTTGGATATAAACCCTTAATCAAATGTGTGGTTTACAAATACTTTCTCCCATTCTTTGGGTTTTCTCTTTGTTCTGTGGATTTCTTTGGTGTCCAGAAAATTTTTGTTTGATATAATCCCATTTGTCTATTTTTGCTTTTTATTGCTTATGCTGTCACACACACATACATACACACACACACACACACACACACACACACCCCTCAGCCCAATGCCATGGAGATTCCTATGTTTTCTTCTAGTAGCTTTACTAGAAGCGCAGATCTTAAAGATTTAAGTCTTTAATCTATTTTTGATTCTTCATATCTGTTGCGAGGTAGGGACCTAATTTCCTTCTTTTATGTGTGGATAACTGGTTGTGAAGTTGTTTATTGAAGAGACTGTCCTTTTCCCAGTGCCTGTTCTTGGTACCTTTGTTTAAAATCAGCTGGCCATAAGTTCATGTTTATTTCTGGACTCTCTACTCTGTTCTTTCTTGCACTTAATTTTGTGATCTCCTATTTATGGCAAGATGCACTGCATTCCTGTATGTGGCTGACATAGAGATGCTAACCTAGGTAGTGCTAGGGTGACAGAGAGGCTGGGGGTGGGGGCAGGTTTGAGCTGGCACTGCTAAAGTAAACAACAGCCTGGACTTGAACCTGGGGAGCTGGACCCTGGAAAGGACTGTGGTGGGGCACCCCATGTGTGACCCCAGGCAATGGAACCTGGAGAGATTGAGACCGATGGAGATTGGGACACACTGAATGAGTGCTGGCATCCAGAGGGACACAGAGACACAGAGGTAGAGACAGGTAGGGAGCAGAGAGGGGATAGACAGACATGCCAGGCGGAGAGAAATCTAGGGTGAGACAGAGAGAAAAAGAGCTAGAGAGGAGCAGACACAGAGAAAGGGAGAGAAGGCACTGCAGGGGTAGAGGCGGTGATAAGGGCAAGGGAGGCAGAGGGGTACAGGACGGAGGAGCAGGTGGTGCCTCTGTGCAAGGACAGGAGCCCCCCAGGACAGAGGCAGTTTGTTTTGGGACACTGGCCTATTGCTGAGAGAGGACATCCGTCACCTCCAGGGAAGCTGTTCCAGCTGCTAGAAAGACTGAGGTTATTCTAATTAACCTGGAACTTGCGCAGTTCACTAGCTGGCAGGCTCTGTGTGTCCTCCCTTCTGGGTCCGCTGCTGACCTGCGCAGGTTGGCTGCTATTGGGCCAGCGGGTGCTGGGCTGCTTGGGGTACTGCCTAAGGCCCACATCGGGCCTTGCTCAGTGCTCCTCTTGACCCTGGAGGAACCCAGCTGGGGCCCTTCCTGGCTGGCCAACCCAGGGTGAGCTTGGCACTGGCTCAGCCCTCCATCTTTTGCCAAGTAGGGGAGACGGAGGGGGGGCTGCTCTTTCTCCTCATTAGCAAAGACTGGCCAGCTGGAGCAGCTGGAGGCCCCAGGTTATCAGCTAATGTGCGGACATGTTTGCTCTCCAAGTCCTGGTCTTCCTCACTTTCCAGTTCATTAGACAGGATGGGGCCCATTTTCTCCACAACTCTGCCAATTTGGAAAGCCTGAAGGCCAGGGACAGATGGTTCCTCCTGCCCTGACATGACCTCCTGCAGATCCTGATAGGTGGGAACCCACTGTCAGGATCTTGTTTCCTTGTTCCTGATTGCCTGAAACCCCTCACCAGCAGCCAGATATTCATAGCAAAGAAAAAAAGAAACCGAGAGAGAAGCAAACAGAGAAGGGAGAGAGACAAATAGAGGCCCCGAGGTGGAGAAAAACTGAGAGAAAAGAGGCTGAGACAAAGATTAGAGAGCCACACACAGGGAGAGAGGGAGGGGAAGACAGAGACTGGGGAAAGGCAGAGACCATCTATAAATAAAAATAATTATTTTCTTTATAAAACAAGAATATAAATTTTCCTTTTAAAACACATTTATATTTGTAAGGTGATTTGAAAAAAGAAAAATAGGCCAGGCATGTTAGTGCACACCTGGAATCCCAGCACTTGGGAGGCTGAGGCAGGAGGATCTCATGGTGTTCAAAGCCAGCCTGAGCTACAAAGACAAAGTGAGTTCAAGACCAGCCTGCACTACAAAACTACAAAGTGCAGAGAGAGAGAGAGAGAGAGAGAGAGAGAGAGAGAGAGAGAGAGAAGAAAAACAGTAAATGGTGGTACAGATATCTCACTGTTTGGTAAGAATCCTGAATGCAGTTATTAAAAGTCTGGAGTTTGGTGAACAGTGGCCTTGTTAAATTTTATAGCTGAGATAGATACCTGTGAGCTGGGCCTGTGCTCTGGCTCCCTCCCCTGTCCCCCACCCCAGCCCCACCATGCCCTGCTGCCACTCCCTGTCCCTGACCCCGCCTAGCTCTGACTTCTCCCAGTCTCCCCCACTCCACTCTGCCCTGACTCCACCTCCCTTCATGAGCTGCTTTACTTAAACTAAAAATCTGGGTATTTCCAGCTTCTCAGCTTTTGCACTGTGATGTCCTCAGTATGGAATTCTCATTCCTGCATGCAGCTTTGTCCACAGTATCTACTCCTGTGTGTTACGGAACAGCCACCTTGGACACCTCCCCAGGAAGCCGTCCCTGATTACTCTGTCACCCAGAGTCCATAGTTTCTTCCTCTGTGCTACTTTACTTTCTTTAAACACTTCTACTATTTCCTCTCTGTACTGTATTTACTTTTGCTGCATTTTTAAAAATACAAATCTGAGTATCGTGAAGGTGGTGACTGGGTCTTGCTTCTGTCTTACCCTTTGTGCTCAGTCCAGAATCAGTATGATTGATTTGTGAAATGATTTGACTCGATGCAAGGTTCGCTCAAAGTGCAAATTCCTGTTCTCTAAGTTGGGTCAGCAAACAGTCGAAGGACAAATCCAGCCCACCATCAGCTTTGTAAATAACGTTTGGTAGAAACTCATGTGCCCAGGCGTGGTCACCTGTGGCGGTTTGTGTGCATGTCGGGCCATTGCAGCAGGGACCACATGGCATGCAAAGCGTGCAGCGTTGGCTACATGGCTGTCTGCAGTAGATGATTATACCCCCCTGCCTGAGCTAAAAGACAGCAGGTCTGGCTGGACTAGGGGTGCTGTGTGAGTGTGGGTGCCTCTGGGTGCATGGTAGGGAGGACAAAGTGGGAAGCGGTTGAGAAGCCCTGGGTGGATGGAGCACCTTTCCTTCTGGGGAACCCGAAGACTAGGCCTACAGTGCCGGCTCTGCACTCACCTGCTCTGTGACCTTAGGCAGGGGCACACACTCAGGGACAAATCCTTCTTCCCTACAGTGACAACCGAGATGCTCAGCACGCCCTGGAGAGAGACCTGGAGGACAAAAGCTCAGCCCAGTTCATCGACGAGAAGTGCTTTAACCTGAGGAACACATCAGACTGCATCAGCTACTTCCACGGCATGGAGAAAGTTGATGGCACGTAAGCACCAGGTGCTCTGGGCCAGGGAAGGAAGGGCTCCCACTTCTGCCAAGCAGTGGCAAAGGGTGTCGCAGGCCAGCCAAGGGAGAGGCTGTGGGGCTCACTGGGTGCCTGCGGTGGCAGGCAACAACATCCACACCTCGCGAACTTAAGACAGAATGGAATGAATTCACCTGAAAAGTGGGGATGCCACAGACTCAAGGGAAGCCCGGAGGGAAGCTTTTGTCTGGCAGTCTGGACAAGCCAAGGAGTGGGAGCTGGCCAGCCACACTGAGACTGCCACTGTCTTTCCTTCCTTGGTCTACTTCGCTCAGGATCCAAATTTGGTCACGTGGCCTCAGCATCTAGCCAGGGCCTGCTGGCGTACCTCCAGTGACAGTTCTGCCAGATTCCAAAGCGAGACCGCTGTGGCCTCATGGCCAGAAGGAGCAGGAATTGCAGCTGGGTGGGGAAGGCCGACTGAGGCCCATGGTGCTGGGAGGGGTGAGCGGGTGGATTCCGTCCCCAGGGGGTCTAGCTCCACATCCCAGGTCACTCGCTGACCCTAGGACTCGCTATCAAAAGTCTGGACTGTCTGCATCTGTACCACTGAAAGGAGAATAGACCCATTTCCGAGATTCAGAGTATGAAAAAGTGGGCAGGGGAAGTAGAAAGCACCGCGCCTGCCAGAGAATAGTAGCAAGTGGGCACACACAAGCCACGTGGCCTCCTTTTCTTGTACTGGCAGCTGTGAACTGGGCCTCTTGTACGTGTGGCACTATTGGGCATGTCACCAGATAGTGACTAAGATGTGCTTTTCAAGGCCACAGTGCAAGGTCTGGGGTAATGGGGGCCAGAGAGAGAGAGAGAGAGAGACAGAGAGGTGGGCTGAGGCATGAGCCTGTGGCGCTTGCACCTCTACCTCGCTTGTTCTCATCTCTCACACACAGCATCATGTTTCACACATCCATGTGTACCATAAATATTTGTCAGATAAAAGAATAAATGAATAAGGGAGAGGAGGGAGGAAAGGATAAAGGTGTTAGACAGCAGTTTCTTTGGCGCAAACTTAGAGTCACTCACTTTCTGGATCTGAGCAGATGTGGAAGTACTGAGATGGCATTTGGGGTTCCCGGCAGTGGCAGCTCCTGGCAATCCCTCCCCTTTCCCCAGGGCATGAGCCAGGGGAGAAAGACCTTGGGGCACCGCTCTCTGCATCTGCCCATCAGCACAGGGAGCCCAAGGGTGTCTCCTCCCGAACAGATGCCTTCCTGAAAACCCGGTGGTGGGGTGGCTGGCAAGGCCCCATTTCCACACCCAGGAGGGGCTGCTACTTCCTGTCCCCCATGCAGCTGCAAGTGAGAGCTTTTGTTTGTGGTGATTAATTGCTCCCTCGATGTGCTAGCTCAGGACTCGGTATGTGAGGTTTTCTTTTGTATTTATTTTTTTCTTTTTGTGATGCTGCAGATTGAACCCAGGCTCTCTCACCCTGCTAGGCAAGCCCTCTACCACCAAGCTGTATCCCCAGCCCATATTTGGGGTTTTCTTAGCACAAGACAATGTCTGGGTGGATTAGAGGGTATCTGGTGACTGTCTCCATCACAGGGTCTGTGTTCACTGTAGTTCTTACTGCCACGAATTAACCGGTGATTATGTTGGTGACAGTACAGGCTTTTAGCTGATGTTTTCTGTGTGCCAGACACTGTGTTTAGAGCTTTACATACTGTACCTCGTGGATAATAATCATCCATCGAGGGCTTATGTGGCTGCTGCCAAGGTAGGGACTTCACATTTAGTCAACAGCCTTGGGGTAGGTGCCATAATCATCCCTATTTTCAGTGAGGCACATAAGGCTCAGAGAGGTAAGGTGCGGTGTAAGCTCACACAGCAAGTGGCAGAGCCATAATCTGAGCGCACACTGGACTGTGGGCCTGTCTTTTGTTTCTTGTCTTTTTGAGACAGGGTTGGCTGGCCTTGAACTCCCAGGGATCCTCCTGCCTTAGCCTCCTGAGTTCACAGGTGGGAGCCACTATTTCCAGCATGGCCTGTGTGTTTTAACAGTGGTGTCTTGGGACCTCTCTAGCAAACCCCGCTGTCCCTGGGTCTTTAGAAGACATGGGATCCAGGAAGGCATTCTTTCACCTCCCCTGCACACTACGGGCAAGGAGACAGGCAGCCAGCAAGTTCCCCAAGGGAGCATGTGCCTAAGTGGGCTCTTTGTGTCCCCCTCAGCTGTCAGGGCTCGGAGCCTGGGTTCACTCTACGCACAGCCCACTGAGCAGTGTACACAGACCTGGAGTGCGTGGTCCCCTCAGCCCACCCTCCCTGCTTGGTGTTCTGAGGATGATGCGCAGCTGTGCAACCTTGACTGTGACCCTTCCCCATGAGCCCCTGCTCAGAGCAGGAGAAAGCTCAGTCCCAGGTGCAGTACCTTCCCTGCCTCAGAAGCCCGAGACACCTGCTTGCTTTTTGACTTCAACTCCGGCAAAAGCGAGGCAAAGCCATCACACACATGTGTGATTTAAAATTCTCATTGTACGATTGAAGTGAAGATATGTCTGAAGATATACGTAGTCCAGACTTCAGAGAACTGGGTTCCTTTTTCCTTGCTGCCTGAGAATAAAATCTGTTTTCTTTAAGAACTACAGTTTTCTCCACACAAGAAAAGACCCTGAGACATTATCCAGTCTGGTTTACCCAGGATGGAAACCAAATCCAGGGCCACAGTGCACCTCCTGGAAGGCTTCCTGGAGGAGAAGCCCCCAAAAGAGGCTCACTCACTGCAAGGATTTCTCTTGTCTAAACTGAGTGAGTCCTTTTGGGTCGCCACCTCTGCAAAGCCTGCCTGCCTGTCCTTGTGAAGCGGGCTCTGTTGTTTCCACTCACGCCCACCTCCATCCCCCAGCAGTCCTGCTGTGTGTCCTGTGGACAGGCTGCCCTTCCTCTGCACCTGCCTCCCCTGGCTCTCTGCCTTTGACTTTCCAGCTGGGCTCAGCCAGAAGATGCTGTGGTCCATACTGGCTGTTCCTGTACCCATACTCTTGTGTCACTCTTGCTCCCTCCCTTCCTTGCTCTTCTCAGCTGGGCCGGTGACAGTGCCACTCATTTTTGAATCCCTGAGCATCTTAATACATATCTGAGGGTACGGGCCCCATGCACAGGGGCAGTTCTAAGACCCCTGGGAAAGCCTGACTCCAGGAACAGCCCCCAACCCTAAATATATATACATCGTTTATATGATAGCATTTAGTTTATAAATGGCACAGGAACAGATTAACTATAGCAGCTTAAATACTAGGATAATTATGACATACTATGATACATTTTACTTAAAACTTATGAATTGTTTATGTCTGGAATTTTCCATGTAATAATTTTGGACCTCAGTTGAAATCAGGTCATTAAAACAGCAGCAAACACAACCACAGGGAAGGGGCACTGCTGTACTTTGTTTGTTCCCTTTTTCCACACCTAGGACACACACAGAGCCCACCCTAGTCACTGGCAGCGCCCTCTTCAGGGTTCCTGCCGAGGTGAACATAGCTCAGCATGGAAATGCCTCACTGGGCACTGTCCGCTTCCTGCTCTGGATGCAGGTGGCTAACAGGGGTGTTCCTGGTTGTGCTCGTGACTCTATTCCAAGGCCTAGGACAATGCCTGGCCTGAGGTAGGTGTGAAAAACACACTGGCAGGGCAGGCTGGGCATGTACTCAGAGGTGACATTTTTGTTTGTCATGTATGAGGACCCGAGTTCCATCCCCAGTACCTCCAAATAGCAACAGCAACACCCCACGACTACTCCCAAGCACAAAACCCATGTTGGCTGGGTGAATGAGACAGTGAGAGTGGCACGGCCGCACGCTCACCAGTGGGTTGGAGCGGGCCGCCACCTCTGTGAGCCCTGCCTGCCTGCCCTTGTGAAGTGGGCTGTGTTGCTTCCACTCAAGCCCATCTCCGTCTACCAGCAGTCCTGTTGCGTGTCCTGGGGTCACACTGCCCTCTCTTGCATCTGCCTCTCCTGGCTCTCTGCCTTTGACTTCTTGGCATGGCAGTGTTTGGGGTGGGGGGTCGAGCGCAGGGAGGAACAGCTTCCCGAGGTGGTCCCTCCTCTCCTGCCTGAGTGATCTTTGGAAGGTCACCCAGCTCTTGTAGGCAGCAAGGGGCTGTAAAAGGAAGGATTCGATCAGGACCATTGTCCTTAACAGGGGGTGGGCCGCCCCCTCCCCCAGGGGATGTTCAACAATGTGGAGACATTGAGGTGGTCACAGCTGGGTGGGGCAGCTACTGGCATCTCATGGCCAGGCTAAGGATGCTGTTGAGGACCCTACAGTATGCTGGATGGTCCCTCACAATGGAGGATTTCCTGACCTGAAGACTAAGACTGGAAAACTACAGCTGTGGAGGTCTCTAAAGCCTGTCCTAGATTTCTTGGCTCCTCACCTGTGTTATGCTTGCCCTCATACCTTTCGCAGGGTCTCTGTGCCTGAGACCTGGGCCAAGTTCAGCAATGACAACATCAAGCACTCTCAGAACATGCGGGCCAACTCCATCCGGCTGCGGGAGGAGGCCGATCACCTCTTTGAGAACCTGTCAGATCAGATGTGGAAGCAGTTCACGGACACCAATCTGGCTTTCAACACGCGCATTTCAGAGGAGACGGATGTGAAGAATAAACTGCAGACGCAGCTGGCTAAGGTGAGCAGGTGCCTCTGAGCCCTAGTGTCCCCTTGCTAAGTCTGCACCTTGCTCCCGTGGGTCTCAGCAGCACTGGATTACGTCTCCCTTCCTGGGTTGACAGGGTTCTGGTCAGCCCAGGAGCTGTGATCATGTTCACCCCAAAAGGGATCAGGGACTGTAAGCTTCCTGAGGGGCTCATGCTTCCCTTGCTCACTGATGGTGGAGCTGGTGCTTGACCTGCTATGACTGTGACATCCAGGAAGCAGCCAACACCCTATTTCTCCCTCTGAGGCCCACGTGGCTCCACCTGAGGGACACCCAGTGGAGCACGTCCCCACTGACCACAGCAGATCTCTGCCTGTACCAGCCTCCTCAAAGCTTCTGCAGTCCTCTCAGCCTGGGCTTTGTCCTCCCTACTCAACACAAATGCAGAGTCCCTCCTGGCAGCCAGAGGCTGTGCTGGGCCCCAGAAAGCAAAGCAGCTGCATGGACAAGGGTCCTGAGCACAGCTGACTTACATTCTGGCTGAGGAGCAGGGGTGGCTGTGGAATTCGGGCAGAAGGGCCCTAGGGGCACAGGCTGGCTGGAGGAGGCTGGGGAGTCTGGGAAGCAGCCTTAAGTCTGTATTTGCAAACAGTCCCCTTTCTGACTGTGTGTGTGGAGCTGGGGCTTGGTGGCCTGCAGACAGGGTTAGATGGAAATTAGAGGGGCAGTTTATGCCCCTACACATCCATACCAGTGTTTCTATGACATACCTACAGGGTGTAACTTGTGTGATGGAGCAAGCAGCAAGGGGCGCAGACAGTGCTCCTGGTGCCTGTGCCAGCAGAGTTGGCAGTAGGGAGAGGCAGCCATGGGAGGAGGAGAGGTTTTCCAGCATCTGGGTCAGAGTCTGGGGTGTGGCTGGAGGAAGTGACAGTCTCAAATCATTGGGCCCTGGTAGGGAGTTTCATTGCAGACAGTGGGGAGCTTTTAAAGATTGTAAGGGGGAAGGTGTTTGGATTCAGTTCCATCTTGGCTTGGCCTCTTTTCCTCCTGGGTAGAGGAAGGTTGCAGGAATCAGTTCACACTGAGGCAGTGGCATCAGATGGGCAGGGGAAGGGGAGGCGCGAGGCTTCCTGAGAAGGCCGAGTTGGCATGTGTGCCTTCCCTGCAGTCTTCGTGGTTACCTTCTGGTGCATCCTCTGGAACACACTTAGCAAACGTCGTTTTACTAGGGACAGACAGTGGATGCTTCAGCTCTGCAGGCCATGTGGGCGCCAGCCTCATAACTCAGTTCCATGGATGGATCCCACAAGCAACTGTAGACATCATGTACACAGATGAGCGTGGCTGTGTTCTGATAAAACTTCGTTTACAGAACCAGGCAGTGGGTCAGAGTTTGTCCATCCTGGCACTGGAACATAGTTCACGAGTCCCTTTCTCCAAGACCCCTTCCTGACGCCTGCAGTTGATTCACATTTGCCGCCTCCAGGGAGCCACTGCCTCCTGGCACCTGGGCCAGTGCTCGGAAGAGTGGACTCTGAGCCGGACTTCTCAGGTGCAAAGCCTCTGCACGCTGGACCACTTTCTTAACCTCTCGGGGCCTCAGTCTTTTTATTTGTAGAGTGCGGTTGAGGACAAACCCCACCTCTAGGCTGCCATGAGGATAATTGGACCTAGAGCACCAGAAGTGCCATGTCTCTGCCAGTGGCTGATTTCACTGTTGTGTTGACTCATGCATCTGAGCCCTTCAGACCATCCCAACTGAGCCCTGTACCTGGCCACCTAGCACACGGCCTGGCTCTCCCAAACCTTTGTGCAGTGAGCGAAGGGAATCTACAATGCACAGCTTTGTGCTCATGCTAAAAAAGACATAGATTGGTGAATACTTTCAATGTCACATTTATTGTATGTGAAAAAACATTTTGGCTAAAATATATATTGCATACAAATTAAGCACTTAGCCACTTTTTAAAAGTGTACAGTTCAAAAAAATAAAGTAAAAATGTACAGTTCAGTAATATTAAGCATATACTCACATTGTTGTGCAATTTTTGCCATGATCTCTAGAGCTTTTTTTGTTAATGAATTAATTCATTAAATAGTTTTTAATGTATTTGGTACAAGGTCTCACTACACAGCTTGGACTGGTAGTGATCCTCCTGTTTTCAGGCTCCCCAGTGCTGGGATTATAGGTGTATACCACCATGCCCAGATTCAGTAGCCAGCTCAGTGTGCCTGGGGGAGCAGGGCCAGCATGGCACACGGTGCCGGGGATTGAACCCCAGTCCCTGTGCTTGCCTAAGCAGGCGCTTAGTCTGCAGAGCTACCTTGCTGGCCCTCCAGAGCTTTTATGATCGCCCCAAATTGCGACTCTATAGCCCCTAACAGCAATTCCCCTTTATTCTTCCTCCATTGCACTTCCTGCTTCTGTGAACTTGACTGCTCTAGGTACCTCAGGAAGTGGAACCACGGGCTAATTGTCTTCTTAGGACTGACCTGTTTCTCTTAGCACTGTGTCTTCAGGACCTACACTCCTGAGCCACAATTCCCTTCAGAAAGGAGAACAGTCTGTGGCCATACCACCCTGAACGCGCCCAATCTCGTCTGATCTCGGAAGCTAAGCAGGGTCGGGCCTGGTTAGTACTTGGATGGGAGAAAGGAGAACAGTGTCCCATTGTCTGCTACGCTACAGCTTGCTTGCCGCTCATCCCTCCATGGCGCTTAGGTGGCTTCCACCGTTGGCTTGCTTTCGTGGGGCATTTCCTGTGGTGAAATCAATGCGGTTCGCTGTGGAGCTGGTGGCACAGCGTGCAGTCTGCTGCGTGAGGGCGACGGGAAGGCTCCTAGCGTTGCGCGGTCCTTAACTACTTTCTCATCTGTGAAACAGAGCCTAAGAATCCCTACCTGTAACATTCTGTTCTTGTGAGCACTAATGAGTTGATATCCCGGTATTTTTAGAATAGTGCTTGTCACAAGGTAAGTCTAAGTATTAATATTATCAAGGGCAAATAAACAGAATCTTTTGGGAGGAAGTAGTTGAGCAAAACCTTTTCTCTTTCAAAATTTCTCCTGGGGAGATTGGAGTTTTAGTAATGGCCTCATCACTGCAGATCAGAGGGCTTCTGCCGCGGCATGGATTTTTATTAATAGTCATTGCTTAACACCAGCCGCTTCGCAATAAGCAACATCATATGGAAGACATCAAACCGCCATATGACACTGTTGACATTTGCCTGAGCAGCGATTTCTCTTCTGGTTGGTGACTGTCTTTCTAGGATATTAATAAAAGGTGATGCAGGGAAGATAAGCATACCATTTCACCTTTCAGTAGCCTGCTTTGGCTAGAAGATTCGAAATGCTCCCTTTAAATTATTAACTGTTCCGGTTGCACTCAGCCCCCTGATGCCTTTCCGCAGGAGGTGTTTCTGGAAAATTCCGAGCACCCATCCTCACTCAGGCAACAAAGCAGCAATTTCCTGGATAGGCAGGCATAGGAGCCCATTTAGTTAGGTCAGATCTACACAGCTGTCCATGTAGGCAGTAGTTAGAGCTGTGGAGTTTCATCCCTAAAGCTATTTCCTAGCTCTGGAAAGTGCCCTAGGGCCTCATTCCCTCAGGAGCACTTTGAGGCTTTGGGGTGTCGCCCAGCCATCCACATCATGGTAAGAACAGGGACTGCAGCAGGTGAGGACCACAGATGGGAGCAAGCTGAGAGCTAGGGCCATGGGAGCCCCAGATAAACCCCACAGCATCCAGGCACACAACTGGATGTGCCCTGGGATAAGGGATGCTTCCTGTTGGGGGAAAGACGTTTGGAGGAGAAACACTAACCTGCTTAGAAAGTGCTTATTCTAAAGACATGGGAACCAGATCCCAGCAGGCAAAATGGCATTAGACACCTTGCACAGATAGAACATGAATGTCACTGAATCACACAGGGAAGAAGGTGTTCCTCCTGTGATCCTTCTGTCCCTTTGGGGGTGGGCATGAGGTACTGGGATGCCTCTCACCTCTGTAATACCCACCCATCTCCCTGTACACAGAGAGCTTACCTTTGGCTGAGAACTTTAGGCAGGTGGCCATAGCCAGCCAGGATTAAACCAGCATGTTTACTAGAAGCATCCACAACTCAAATGAGAACATTGGCTGCTCATATTTTTATATTATAATCATATATTATAATGGTCTTCGTTATTTGTAGAGTCTGTATTTACAAAAGTGCATGTTTGCTAAAATTTATTTGTGATACCCAAATTGACAAATTTGGTGTTTCTATGGGCTTTTTTTTTTTTTTTTTTTTTTGGCAGAACCGGGGATTAGAACTAGGGCCCTTGCACTTGCCAGGGAAGCACTTACTCCACTGAACCATCTCCCCAGCCCCAAAAGGCAGAAAGATTTTTTTTTTCTCCCAGTGCCTTCAGGGCAGGTTTGGCTGGCTTGAGTTGTGGGGATTGAACCACAGCAACCTGAGCCTGACTGCTTTGTTGAAGCAGCCACTTAAAGAACTGAGCTAAAGGGCAGGACCCCTCTATGGGCTTTTTTGGACACAGACAGAGTGGCAGAAATTTATCACTCATCTTGCCTGTTCTCAGTTGAATAAATAAGGCAACACTCTTCCTCTTCTCTGGAAAAAAAAAAAAAAAAAAAGCAGCATGCTTGTAGTTTTGTCCTTTCTTCCTGTATTTTTAATTATTATTATTTTTCTACTTATGGCAAATAATATTAATGCTTGACTTTCCACTATTTCTGTTTCTTTTTAAGTAAATTGGTCTGAAGAAAAGGTGACACTCACAGTGTTACTAGGGGCATAGGTTATGACAAAAGTGGTGAGAGTAGGGCTGGCCTGATAACTCAGCAGACTAAAGTGCCTGCTTAGGCAGAGCACAGCAGCCGGGGTTTGATCCCCAGGCCTGCCATGCTGGCCCCACCTCTGGGGCACCCTGAGGCTGCGATTGAGACTGGGCGTGGTGGCCTGTGCCTGTAATCCCAGAGCTTGGGAGGCTGAAAACAGGAGAATCACTACAAGTCTGATC